TAGATAGAACACTGTTTCGAGCAATTAAGGGGAAGAGTGAATCTTTACTAGCTCGAAACTTCCTGAGAATATGTGTAACGTGTGGGTTCCATGTAAGAGATTTACTGAGGATCACCCCAAGATAAGGGACCTGCTTGACCCAGGGAATGTCCACACCATACATTTGCAGGTGAGTCGGGAAATTCTTCTTAGTAGTAAACAGTATGGCATGTGTCTTGTCGACATTCACTTTGACTTTCCATTTGGTCAGTCAAGTCTCTAGCGAATGGATGTGGTGTTGTAGCTGTTGTATTGCTGAACTAACAAATGCACTTTGCGTTAAGGATCGCTGTGTCGTCTGCATACATGGCTAGTGTTGTGTTTTGTGTGTAGTGGGGATGTCGTTCACGTAATATTGAATAGGGTAGGGCCCAGAAGGGATCCCTGTGGAACACCAGCCCGTATAGGCCGGTTTGTGGATAATGAACCAGAAACATGAACGACAAAGTGTCTACCGGTTAGATAGGATTTAATTATGTTTGCGATGTAGCCTGGGAGTCCCAGTTTGTATAATTTGTATATGAGGGCATCCAGCCATACTCTATCGAAGGCTTTGGCGACATCTAAGAAAAGTCCACCAGTGACACGATGTTGTTGCATCCCACTGCTTATTAACTCAACAACTCTGTAGAGTTGATGCGTTGTCGAGTGCTTACGCCTGAACCCAAACTGGTAGGGTATGAGGATCTTCTGCTCATCCAGGAAGATGTTTAGTCCATGTAGAATAACTGCTTCCACGATTTTGCTAATTGAGCTTAGCAAACTGATTGGTCGGTAACTCTCAGGAGCAGTCGCAGGCTTGTTGGGCTTAAGCAGAGGGACAATCTTGGCAGTTTTCCAACAAGTTGGGAAGTACTGCCATCGTAGTATGATATTCACTAACTTGGTGAAGTAGAGTATTATCTTGACAGGGAAGTGCTTGATCATCTCATTTGTGACCCCGTCTACTCCAGGGCTCTTCCTTTTCGCAATTCGCATGATATAGAGACAGACCTCCGATGGCATGGCTGAGATAATGTTGTCTGTGCATGGCTGTGTTGTAAAATTTGGAGTGGAAGTCAGCAATAAGCTGTTCAGTGTCTGAGTCTGAAATGTTGTTAATGCAGAACTGAGATTCCAGATGCTGAGCTAAAAGTTCTGCTTTCTCAGTTCCGGTGTAATGGATCCGTTGAGGGCCGTGAAGGGGCGGAATGGCGTTATAGCATTTTTTGTACCTCTTCACTGCTTTCCATAAGGAGTTATCCTCTGCAGAAAGAGATCTGAGGTAGTTAGTCCAGCGATCTTGTGAGAGTTTATTTGTAAGAAACTTGACCGCTTCGCACAGGCGATTGAAGTTCCTTTTATCATCACGGTGTCTGGTACGTTGATACGCTCGTCTTGCAGCATTTCTCTCTTTAATCAATAATCTGAGCTCTTGAGGCTTGTGTTTCATACCAGGTTTAACTTCAACTTGTGCTTTCGCATAAGCATTTTGTATATTTTCAGTGAGGTCCTTGACCAAACTATCAATGTCACTCCCCTTGTGTATCGTGGGTAAAGTGTACTGGGTGTTGGGAGAGGGCTTTGGCAAAGACCTGCCAGTCTGTACGAAAGGCCCTGGTGTCTGATGTAGTATATCTGCTGAGGTCCAGAATAATCCTAACAGGATTGTGATCACTTGAAAGTTCGTCCAGTACGGAAATATCCAGTGGAGAACTGGTGTTTTCCGCAATCAGGAAAAAATCAATAATTGCGGTGGACCCAGCAGCATACCGTGTTGGGGTACTTGGAACTGCCAATTTAAACCGTGCCGACGCGGCCAAGGAATAAATCAGTCTGCCTGTTGCATTAGAAGTGTAGCAGTTCCATGCGCGGTGTCTTGCGTTCAAGTCTCCACCAATAATAACATGTGTACCAAGTGTGAGTAGAATTTCAAGGGTCTGCCTGAACGACAGCCACAGGTCTCATGGGAGGAATGTAGGTGGAGACAAAAGTGTATGGAGTGTTAGTGTCTGTTGTGATGCAGATAGCTGTGGCCTCTACGGCTGAGAGCTGTGGAATGTTCACGTGATAATGGGGAATGCAGCGTTTGACAAGAAGTGCAGTGCCACCTCCACGTGGGCGAGGAGCGGTAGTACTTCTGTGCGACTTATAGGTATAGTAATTTGCCACACACAGTGGTATTTTAGGGTCAAGCTTGTGTTCTTGTAGGAAAAATAAGTCGGGACTGTGCTCACTTGCAAAATCCCGCAATTCATTAATCTTACGGAACAAACCATTTGCGTTTTAAGTAATAATACTTAAGTACCTATTGTTTACACTATACATAATTATTCAACATTGGAAAAAACACTGTCAAAAACATTAAATAATATAAACAACTTATCGATTGAATGTTCCGCAGCCCGCAATTCAGGCATGGCTGCCGAGATTTTTTGAAAAACATTCATAACTGTGGTGCCTTTAAAAACATCACACACCTCTTTGATTATTTTGAGAAAGTCCATAAGTATACCCGAACCAACAGTAGCACTAGCAGCAACACCACTGCTGACAGTCTGTTTATGCATATCAACATTAAAATTATTAACAGTATTTACAGATCTTTGAACGTCACCCTTGGCTACACTAGCATAACTGCGCCCGGAGGCAACAGCAGAATAACTCAAATTTACATTAGAAGTACTAGGCATTTTAACATTATTATTAACATTTTCTGAGTTTGCACTCTTATTCACAGTTTTATTTCCGACTGTGCGTCGGGGGAATTTTGGACATCCGCGATAATTGGCGGTGTGTCCTTCTTGCAGGCAAACAACAAATAGGAGAGTCTAATTTTTTTAACATTACATTTATCAGTACGATGTGCACCCGCACATTTCACACATCTTGGTTGTAGTTTGCAATTTTCACTACTGTGGTGGAAGTGTTTGGCAGTTGTGACACTGCACAACATTTCCACGCACTTTATAAGGATGTATTTCAACAAAGAAACATAGTAGTTTTTTAACATCATAAATAGATTGCACCCCTGGTACATTCTCTAAATGAACCTGAAACAAAGGCATAGGAGCCTTAGATTTGGTTCTGTGCATTTGGGTAACTTTTCGAGGTTTATACTTTAAATTAACCAGCTCCTCAAAAATGTCATCTGAGGGGCAATCGATAGTAAACCTCTTATAACTATTTTGATGGGCCTATCCATCTTTCTGGTAATTAAATAATGATCTACAATTTTTTCATCCAAATATTTTGTTATCTGACGGTGATCATTTTCCGTTTTCGGAAAAACTTTTAAAAAACTCGCCAGTAACTTTAGCTGCAAAGTCTAAATTAGTTTCAGCCCTCAATTTTTTAGAGAAATCCGAAAATTTAATTGGAGGCTTCACCATTATCGGTTTCACCTTCGGTTGTTGCATTTCAATAACCTCATTCTCTTCACTAACTTCCATATCATTATTAGTGGCAGTATTATCTGCATTAGCATTTTCACCTAGCTTATCAAATTTATTGCTAACATTAATTTCTGCATTAGCTTTGACTAATTTAGCAGGCCGAGCCGTATTACGCGGCTGTGTAAAGCCTTCTGAATTCTGAATTTCTCTCACACATCTTTTTCCTTTTTTCGAAGGCCGTTTAAGCAAAATTTTTGTTTTTTCTCCGCTAGGAGTTTGTGCAATTGCACCAGATTTATCACTAACATTTTTTACACTTAGATGGAGTGTGTAAATCATAATGAAATGGAAGGAGATATAGTATCATTACAGTTAACAGAAGTAACAGTAGATATAACCTGCATCTTAGGGACATGCTTAACAACATTCGCATTCAACTTATCACAAGATAAATTTACAATACTAGGATTTTGGGCACTAAAAACGTCGCACTTACCCTGAAATAACAAAGCCAGTCTTTTGACTATTCCACTCCTTTTTTGGTGTATATCCAGACGTTTTTGCTTATTCTCCTCACTGGATAATGTATTGACATCATCTTCCGTTAACTGCTCATCTACATGAACTGCAACATTCAGAAGCAGAACTTGCTGAAGCGCGAGTTGATAATCCTCCGCATCGTAACAATCCTTGTTTAATAGCTGACTCCAACCTTTTCCTAACACCTTGTCTGCATACGCACATATCTCCTCGGGAAAAGCAGAGAGATTTTCTTTACTAACGTTCACAACCTCGGGCGGAGGAAGCGGCGGGTAATCCTTCGGATCCATTGCTGACACTAGCACGTGTTGATGATGAATATACATTTCAGTGCGCGAATGAAGTGTCAGCCCTTGGTGTTTCCTGGAAAGCAGATAAAGATAGTTTTAATTTTAAAGTGAAACTAGAAAATGAGTCTAAAATTACAAAATTAGGCAAGTTTTGTCAACAATAACGAGAATCTTTGACCCACTTGGTTTATTGGGTCCCGTGATAGCTAAAGCTAAAATATTTCTTCAGAGACTGGGTTTTGAAGCTCAGTTGGGACGATTTTCTACCTGATAAAGAAGCCAAAGAATGGCAACGGTTTTTCTCTGAAATACCACATATATGTAAATTAGAAATTAATTCTTGTCGCAGAAGCAATTGTTATTGAGTTACACGGATTTTGTGATGCCTCTGAGTTAGCTTTTGGAGTTGTAGTTTATTGTAAATCCGTCTCCCAATATGGTGAAGTGGTGATAAGGCTGGTAACAAGTAAATCAAAAGTTTCTCCTATAAAGCAAGTTACCATACCAAGATTAGAGTTATGCACAGCTGTATTGCTTGCGAAGTTAATGACTCGAGTAATATCTGCTCTGAAACTTAATGTGAATAATGTATTTTTCTGGAGTGACTCTTCGATAGTCTTGGCTTGGCTGAAAAAAGAGCCGTGTTGTATTAAAACGTTTGTTGCTAATCGAGTTGCGGTGGTTCAAGAAATAATGGACGTGCGACAGTGGCATCACTTCCCATCTAAACAGAACCCTGCGGATCTAATATCAAGAGATGCTGATCCGGTCAAACTTCAACTGTGTGAACTGTGGTCCCTCATTTCTTCTTCAACTTGTGATGACTAAGTGCCAAGATGATCTCCCTGAGGAGTCCGAAGAACTGTATCTTCGCGAATTAAAACCAAAAGCAGTAAGTGAAATATGTGCACTTATTAACACTTATGAGCCATTAGATGTCATCAATAATTGTTCACCTTCAACAAATTGCTAAGAGTAGTGGCTTGGTGCAAGAGATTCTTGCATGACACCAGGCATCCATTGCATACTACACGCAGAACTTGGAAAACCAGTGAACTTTCTAGTGCGTTATTGTGTATTGTGAAAAATGTTCAAAGGACTTCATTTGTGACAGAAATCCAGTGCTTAGAAAAGGGTGCTCCTATTCCTAATAGTGGTAAACTATTGAATTTGTGTCTATTTTTAGATCATGATGGAGTACGCAAGAGTGGGTGGCAGGCTGAAAAACAGTGACTTAAGTGAAATGAGAAAGCGTCCTATGATTCTGCCAACTAAACATAATTTTACTGTAATTGTGATTAATCATTTTCATGTTCTTTATTTTCATGCAGGTGCTGAAACAACCCTATCACTTATAAGGAGTAAATTTTGGATTGTTTCTGCAAGAAATTTAATTAGAAAAATTATATTTAATTGTATGATTTGTAAAAAGGTAAATTCTAGGTCTGTGCATCAACAGATGGCTGATTTACCAGCTGCGAGAGTGACCATATCAAGAGCTTTTGCTAAAACAGGACTCGATTTCTGTAGTCCATTTGTGGTAAAAAATTTTGTAGGTAGAAGTAAACAGGTAAGAAAAGTATTTGTATGTATTTTTGTATGTTTCACTACGAAGGCCTTGCACTTTGAAATTGTTAATGGTTTAACAAGTGCAGCATTTATAGCAGCACTTAAACGCTTTATTGCCAGGCGAGGTAAACCCTCAGATATTTTCAGTGATAATGGCAGAAATTTTGTGGGTGCTCATAGAGAATTAAGAGCGATTTTAAAATCTTTATTTAAGGATAAAAGTGAGGAAGAAATCAAAGGTTATTTGGCTACTGAAGGCATAAATTGGCATTTTAATCCTCCCTCTACTCCTCACTTTGGAGGTTTATGGGAAGCTAGTGTGAAATCCCTTAAATATCACTTGAAACGTGTGGTGGGAAAAACAATTCTAACTTATGAAGAATTTTTTACTCTAATTGTTCAAATTGAATCTGTACTTAATTCTCGCCCTCTTTGTCCCATATCAAATGATCCAAATGATGTAGAGGCATTGACACCTGCTCACTTTCTTATTGGTTCATCTTTAATTGCATTGCCTGAACCTAATTTTACAGAGATTCCTATAAATCGGATAACTAGATGGCAAATGGTTCAGAAATTAAATCAAAATTTTTGGAAAAAATGGTCGTCTGAATATTTAAACAAACTTTTAAATAGACCTAAATGGTATAAAGGAAAAGTAGAAATGAAGGAAGGAGATTTAGTTTTAGTAAAAGATTCGGATAATTACTCTTCTTTAAAGTGGCATTTAGCACGAATTATTAAAAGCCATCCAGGTCAAGATAATATTATTCGAGTTGTGACACTTTAAGATAAAAATGGAACCTATAAAAGGCCAATGACAAAAATTATACCTTTGCCTTTTGTTAATGAAAAAGTTTCAGGTTACTTAAATTTTATTTGTAGTTAATTATCAAGTTTGAGTTTGTATAATTGTATAACCATCATTATTATTATATTGCAGTGTTGTGTTTGTATTTTATAACTTGTGTTCTAAATTTATTGTTGAATGTAACATTCAAGGCCGGGCTGGATGTTGACGCCAGAGGCGCCATCTGTGAAAAATATGTAATATTTGTGTTCTAAAACGATGACGCTGATGTTTTTATAGCGCCACCTTGCGGCCACTTGTATTGAGTTTTGAGTGTGTTCTGAGACGCCGCCGAGAGATGTGAACTAACTATGCGGCTTTTTGAGTAATTAATAAATTTTAGTATACAGTCCATTTTTGAGTTTTTGTGTAAGTGATTTTTAATATGAGTTTGAATAAATGATCATCTTTTAACCTAAAATTTTGAAAAGAAAAAATAAAAAAAATCCTTGTTTTATAACATTTGAAATGATAATATTGCTACATGCTGAAAGTTCATAAATTAAAAAAAAAAAAAAAAAAAAAAAAAATTACCAAATCTTGTTATTTTACCTTATTTGTTTCATAGCATCATGTACTATCAATCTTACTTAATTTTTACTATTTTAGGCAAAATAAATTCATAAATTTTTGTTTAGAGTTTTTACCGTTTATCAAAGTGATGATGTTTAGACAAGATTCGCTTATGCTCAAAATGCGTAAAAAAATACTCAAAATGCCCTAAAATTGGTTTCATGAATATATAAATCTTATTAGCAAAACTGTGATTTTTATTACTCATCATTTATACAACGATCACTTAATAATTAAAAAGAGTTGTGATACAAACGCCAAATGTTTCAATGTTACGATAAACTAAATCGTCCCTACTCTCTCTTCCCGACATGTGTGTGACGCACGCCCCGCCCACTGGGTTGGTCTATTTCTTATAAGGTCCATGATGCAGCATCAGTGACGTCATGATTCCATTATTAGCAATTGTTTGGTTTTATGTTAGCTTTTGGTTTTGTTTTTGGTATTTGCAGTTCCAAGCGATGGAGTTTCAGACGAGGTAAACAAGTATGGCTGTTGATTATCGTCATGAACGGCATAAAGGTCTGTCAAAGAACGGTCGCTCTGAATTTTCGATTGCAAAGATGAGGTGGAAAATGCTTGCAAAGGTTAAAATTTTGCTTATATTATTTATGCGCGCTTTTATTTTCTTTTACTTTGATGATAGGATTTCTAATTCAAGTGTCTGAAATGTGTGTTGTCGCTTTTTCATCTATAAATGTATATAAAAGTTCCGCGTTTTCCTCTTTGAAATATAATGTTTATTTTAGAAATTCATTGAATTTTAAAGATATAATTATTTTGTTTCATTAGATATTAATTTTTGGTGTGACTCATTTTATTTATCTTTGTTTTTTTTCAGTATTTTTATGGTACAATTAGCTATTATAATTATTTTGGGATAGAGATAAAACCATATTTCTGACACAAAATCTTGCTGCTAACGTATGCGTATATGTAGAACTTCATATATTGATATCATTTGTTGTTTATTATTTTAAAAGTGTTTTGTGACGTGGGAAAGCAGCGTGATTTTTTCCAAGCCATACCTAGTGTAAATGATAGCTTACTTTTATTAAAACTGTAATATATATACATGTATATGTACTTGCAAAACAATTTTTAAAAAATATATAAACATGCCTAGTTTTTTCATATGTATATTAAATCTAAACATATATATGTATATATTTTAAATGCTTTTGAATTTATAATATGTAATTGTCTTTAGTTAAAGCTTATATTTTTCTATATTTCAAAGACAAAATATATGAGAATAAATTTTGGGGAAAGTGAAGAATTACCCACTGCTTGGCATGATTTTCATCTTTGGGGAGAACAACTGTGTATAAAAAAATACTGTTAAAATATCTTAGTACATGAAAAGCATCTGGTTTCACCACCAATAAATTATTGAGTTTATTAGTATTTAGCAGTCCATTTAAGTATTTTGCTACTTTTGATGATGAAAAAAATTCGTACCTAAAAAAAATTAACATTAATCATATATATTAAAGTAAATGAGAAATTAGCATATGCATTTCTTATTTTCACATTTTCTGAAACTAATTGTTTTTACTTATTTGTTGTAGGCTTTGCAAGAAGGTCGAGTGCAAGAGTCATTGTCGTTTCCCGGTTCTGTCCGTCAGTTCTCCACATTTGGTTTAATTCATATGATATCTACAGATGATGCTGAAAATGATAATGCTAAAGGCAGATGGTTTCAGTGTTCTTGTTTGGAAGAGCCACGCTTAAAATTAAAAATTAGGTGAGTGTTCCATAATTAATTTTTCAAAAGTAGACTAGTGTTGCTAAAATTGCTTTATTATGAGCCTTTTTTTCCTTTTTAAAATCGTTTTAATATATACTTCCATATACTAATGAAGTACAAGTACATTCACTGTTCTTATTATATTTTATTTTTTATATTATTTCTATATTATATTTATATTGTCTTTGATTTATTTTTACAAAGTTTGCATTATTTATCTTTTTGTAATCTTCTATGTTTATTTCAACTTTACTTTGAATTCGATTTCATAATGACAATTTCCAATGTTTAATTTTTACAAATAATATAGAACTCAAATGCATAAACATGAAAGTGTCAGGGACGGTTACTCGGGTTAATTAGGATTTCTCTACAGTAATTGCTTTTTACTCCAAATTGAATTGACTAAAATGCTTCATAAGAATAAGTTCTTTGAGTCAGCATTGGATCATAATCCCTTCTATTCGCAGAAATATTTGGCCTGACTAGAATTGCCGGTTTGGCTTTAACTTATAATTCAAGTAAAGACGAAACACTTTCGTATTTACGTATTTTTTTCAATTATTGTTCATTGAACGGGAGTTGGTTGTTCCCCTTGAAAAGTCAACTAATTTCCGATCAATGACAATGATTACATGTTTTTAATTTTCCTTTTACAATTGAAATTTTATTCTTCATGATGATTTAACTCCAGTCCCCGTTAAAACATTATTAACATTTTGCTTTCAAATTACTTCAAAACATCTTTCGAAATATAACTTACCAGTATGGATTCACTCTTTTAAAATAATTCTACTTTAATTAAACTTAGGAGATAATATAATCAATTAATCAATACTGTTTAGGAAATAAATTATTACTATGTGTTAAATATGTACAGGTAAAAAGAACTTAGACACAAGAATTTAAGGCATTATCTGTATCATGGAAGCTTAATAATTTTATAGAAATAATATCAACCATTTGTAACAGGAGGATTTTTTTTTTTTTTTTTTTTTTTTTTTTTTTTTTTTTTTTTTTGCGGGTGGAGTATGTTTAAATTGAGAGCAAAAGGCACGTTATCTGCTGTATCAAGATGCATAAATAGTGAACACAAGGGAAAACTCTTAAAATAACAATGTTCTCAACATCGGATTCCAACTGCTTTTTGCATCATGCTACAATCTAAGAACATTTGCCTATTTTAATTATGAAAGTTATTTAAAGTAACTAGTGTCTTGAAAAGGTTGCTATACACAAAAGCTATAAAATTAAAGAAATTAATTTCTGACAGCTTCATGTGATAGTTGACTTTTTTATTTTTTTAAAATTTTGAAAGATAATTTGATATTTGTTTCTAGATATCATCTTAACCAGAGTGTAAAAAAACCTCGTTCTTTCACTTTACAGCTTATCTCCTGTTGGTCCTAGGTCATAAACTTTTTTTTTATTCATTTATAAATAGCATCTTTAAAATTTCAGGCATATATTTTTTATTCTTTGAACGATTTATTTCCGGATATATTTGCTCCCAACTCTCTGTGCATTGGTTGTAGGATTTCTACTAGGAATAACAAAAGAGCTGCCTGTGCTGAAGAACCACCCTTGATTGGTATAATTTATTTAAATAAAAAAGTTAAAACAATTTTAAAAATATATTTTCCTTGTTGAAAATCGTATAAAATTTATAGAATAATATATTTCAATCAAGCATATGCTATATAATGTTTTCGAAAGGGGTATAATTAAATATTTTAATGTAATGAACTGAGAGTAGTATGGGAGGATTAATAGTTAGCAATATTCCTTTCTATTGGCAGGCTACCTTTAAATGTTTTTCCCAGTTTTAATAAATAAGATGTATGCAATGAAATATTTTTCAAAATCCATACATAATAGTACAAAGTCCGAAATCCAGACTCATCGGGACATCAGCGAATCCAGATTTGGGATTTTTCCTGGGATTAGATCATCAGTTTAAATCTAGTAATATGGCATGTAGAAATTATAAAATTAACAATATGAAATCGTGATTTATTAAATAATGAAGTATTTATGATGTAAAGGGTATCAAGATTTACAAAAAAAAAAAAAAAAAAAAAAAAAAAGCTTAATATTTATTTGTTTACCTTATTAAACATTTTTTCAATATAAGTTGTTTAAGTTGCTTTATTTTTTGTGCTAATACTTTCTCTTTAATTCTGTAGACAGACATAATCTCTTGTTTAGTTGTATTGTTGAAGTCTGCTGTTTCAAGAATTCCGACTAAGTTGTCAATCAAAATTTTCTCGCTTTTGGTAACTTCTCTGTCACTTTCTTCACTATCGGTAGTGGTATTTTCTGGATCTAGAACCATACTACAAATTTCACCATTCATTAATTGATTGATGATTGAGAAGCATTGTCATCACAATGAAAAACTTCTTTTATATCATCTTTATTTATTACTGCTTCTCCACATTTCATTACAAAATCCGTTAATTGGAAAATTTCACATTTGTTTTGCGATATCTGAAAGCCTTTAAAATTAGTGGCTATCATCATAAAATTTAGGTATCCTTCACTATAATATTTGGCTTCACGAATATTTGGCTATACATCATGAGCTTGGCGACTAACGACAAGTTGTTCTGTTAAATTTTATCTTGCTTCTGTCATGTTTTTTTTATTATACTTATGTCTATTTCTTGCACATGCTTAAGGCTTATCAGAGTTCTGAATAAATAAATTCCCACATATACTTAAGCCTTGTTGAGGGTCAGTGCTAGATATCTTACCACATGAGGCAGTCTCTGTAGGTCTTAAATTCTGCAACCTGGGGCAGCCATATGAATCCTGGCGCTGGTTTTGGTTTATGTGAATAACGAACTAGTTATTCTTAATTTAAATAGCCCTAAATGTAATCTTTGGGTCTATGAGTATCATCAATAAAATCTATTTTTAGCATATGGAGAGAAATATTTGGTAATTTTTTCCTCGTCAACATTTTTTAGTGCATTTAACTTAAATCTGTAATCATCGCCAAGCATAATGTCAACATAAAAGGTTACCATACTCCTTCATTATTCAATTACTAACATAAAAAAATTGTTTAGGCATCACTACATGAGTCATTACTCAAGTTGTCATATTTTGATAAACATGCAGGTGATGAAAGGAAAGTATAATAAATGATGATTCGCCAGGTTGGCGTCAGATCAGCGATGTATCTATGTGGAATGTTTCATTTTAAGATGTGTGCCAAGCAGATACGTAGCAATGGAACGAAATTACTGATCGTACAAATTTATGCTAAAATGATTGTTTCTTCAATAACAAGGTATTTTATTTAGTGCCGAAGTGAAATTAAGAATCGGAACACTCCAGATGTTTTATTATCCACGGAGGGAGGAATCAAATGCACATGCATGAAGACTATGAGAAAAATTTTATTGGTGGTTTTGAAGTCCGGATTTTAGATCATTCTGAATAATGGACGTCCGGATTTCTGACTTTGTATTGTATTATTTCTTTAAGTTAGTAATGATCGGAAGCTGATAGCCTTATGGGATAACTATAAATTTATTCTGCAATATCAAAGTTGTATATTTTTTTAAATAAATCTACTTAAGGGATTACAAATTTAAAGTTTTCTCTCTCATATGGATGACTTTTTAAAATAATAGTGTAACAGCTTATACAAATTAAGATACCTTGTTACATGCTGTGTCTTTTCATAAGTTGTTATGAATTTCCTTTCAGATTATTATCTGACAAAATATCTTGTGAAGAACTCAGAGGTTTTGACAATACTGGTAATGTGTGTAAGTAGCATTTTTTTAATAGATAATTGAGTAAAAATTAGAAGATTTTTTTTAGTGGTATGCACAGCATAATATCATGTTATATGACTGAAAATTAAATTCAAATGTTTTAAATATGTAAATTTAGTATGAAATTAAAATTTGTAAATGAAACAAAAGTCTGCTTGCCCATGAAATTTATTTTACATTAAAAAACAGTCATTTTGTAATTCTCAGGTATTCTTCATATTTGATAAAACAACAACTTTACTTCTTGCTTCTTGATTTTACATCTCGATTGGACTGATCTTTAGAATATGGTAACTGGTAGTTTGGCGATATTTTGGAGGCAATAAAGGTTACTTACTACCTGGGACTTTGGTAATAATGTGAGCAGTACTCAGTTCCGATTACGGATTATTTTGTGTGAGGGAAATGAGAAATCATGGGATATGTATGTCATGTGATATTAATGGACGAATTACGGTTCCTTAATCAGAAAAGGGGGAAAATCGGGAAAAAATCTGGAAATTTCGTATTTGGCTTTATTCTGTGTTGTGTGAAACGGTGTTCGTTAATTTTTGGATCCTATGACCCTAACTAAAGTGAATTCGAAATGGGTATTAGTGGGATTGAAAGGGTGTAAGAAGTGTTTTCTTTAAGGTTGTGCGAGATAGAAGTAAGATGTTTTATTAAGTTTTTATTTTCCTGGTACTTGCTGTTAACTATAAGTATGATTTTTAAAGATCCTGAAACAGGCACACTATGCTTGCTTTTTATTAGCGGAAATAAAAGTTTTCGGACACGTAATCAAGATTCTGAAGAAGATTAGGTAAGTTGTATTTTTAATTATTTGAGGATATTATTTTTAAGCATTGTTCTAATGTAAGGTGGAAGTAAGAATTTGGTATTATTGGGAAATTGTTATTAGCAATGATTTAGTTTAAAGTAATTAGGATTGTAAGGTAATTTTTTATTAATTTAATGTATGTGCTTATTTATATTTTAAGTAGTGTTTTTGAATTTAATTATATTTTAATTAAATGATAGGTATTTTATGAATTTTATGTGTGTAGGAATTTGGTATACGTTTTAGTTGAAATAAACGTGCATGGAAATAATTTAAATATTTGACACTAAGTATTTGTAATGGTTTGCGGTATGAATTCGTTGGTGACGTTTATAATATAATAGATAATTTAGAGGTAAAAGTTTTTGGAAATTTTTTTATTTATTTTATACGTGGAAATGTTCATATTTGGAAAGGGTAATATACTTTTTCGTTATCAGGTAATTTCATATATGTTCTTTTTACCGGGTTTAAAGATTCAGAAAATTGTCATGCATTTTCGTGAAATTTTTCTAATTTATGAGAAAAAAGGAGTGTACATGGATATAGTGAAGAGTGTGCGCAATGCCATTTTTGTGCAATTCTGGGATTTTTTTTTAAGTAAAAATAAGTCGACGTGTACATGGTTTAGTGATATTTTAATTAATGATAGTTATTTTGAATTTTATGTTTGTAGGAATTTGGTATACGTTTAGTTGAAGTAAACGTGCATGGAAATAATTTAAATATTTCACAGTAAGTATTTGTAATGCTTGCGGTATGAATTCGTTGGTGACGTGTATAATATAATAGATGATTTAGAGGTAAAGTTTTTTGGATATTTTATTTATTTTATATGTGGAAATGTTCATATTTGGAAAGGGTAATATACTTTTTCGCGATCAGGTAAGTTTCATATATGTTTCTTTTTACGGGTTTAAAGATTCAGAAAATTGTCATGTATTTTCGTGAAATTTTTCTAATTTATGAGAAAAAAGCAGTGTACATGGATATAGTGAAGAGTGTGCGCAATGCCATTTTTGTGCAATTCTGGGATGTTTTTTTAAGTAAAAATAAGTCGACGTGTACATGGTTTATGTGTATGTGTTATTTTGAAAAACGCGTAAGGAGTATGGTATTGTGCACTTTTTCCCAATTTTGCAGTGAATATTTGTCATGATTAAGCAGGTTTGTTAGATAAAATTTCTAGCATAAGTGTAATTCGGCTAGTAGATTCTTGGAAGAAGTGTTCAGTAGATAAAAAGAAAATAAACATGTCTTTACTTCGTGAAGACAAAATGGGGGTGGGGAAAAAAAATAGAGGGTTGCTGTAGGAGAGTTGGTCGCCAAATTTTCGCCAAAAAATCGCCAAGTTACCATAATCTAAAGATCAGCCCTTGATTGTGTTATTTCATTCAACAGTCTTATTAAATACTTTAAGCTTGGGCAGGGATCTCAACTAAAATGATGAACTAACTTGCAGCTCCAGGAAGAGCATTGTTTTCTAGTGAGAATTTTGTAAATGATTCTAAGAGCAAAGAGGATCTTCTTTTCAGTCTTGGAGATTTGAAGCCTTGAGGAATGATAAATTATTTTTTGTCATCATTGATGTACTTTTTTATAGGACTATTATACACTCATACGCTCAATTTGTCAGCATGTAAGAATAAAGATACTGAATATTTTGAGAGGCTGAGTGACAATAAGGAAAATATAAATATTAATGCATGAATTGCTTTGGTTTCTATATTACATGTTCATATAGAAAAGCTGCTAGTAAAAAAATATTTATGGGTGCCCCTTGGCGATTTTTTGCAGTACATGGACACCGAGTTTGTGCAATACTTGTTATTTTGGCTTTGTGTAGCGTCGGCAAAAATTGCCAGTACACAGAGCCAAAATAACAAGTCAAAGAATTGCACAAACTCGGTGTCCATGTACACATTGACCTATTTTCACTTAAAAAAACCATCAGAGAATTGCACAAACTAGGCATTGTGTACTCCCTTGAATTTGTCCATGTGCACATCAATCTATATTCACTTAAAAATTCAAAGGAGCAGCCAACAAAATATATATAAATCTCAATAAACTACATTTTAAATCAAGCAATGAAATAATATAAAAAAGGAAATTCATCTTAGCACTACACAAAGTAACTCTCATTGCAAAGTAGTAGAGATGTGGGTATGGAAAACAGTTGAAAAAACAATTGTAAGCATTCAAAAATTTTTTTAAATAGTTAAACATTTTTTTATACTTTCTTAATTATGGCCTTCATTATGTAAGCAGTATCAAGATTATTGATAAATCTCAATACACACCATTTTCAAATGACTGGCAGTCCTAATGACAATTACAGTACAAAGTCTTTAATCCGAACTTGTAGGGACTTTGGCGATTCCGGATTAGGGGTTTTTCCAGATTATAGAACATCAGTTTAAATCTGGTAAGATGGCATGCAAAAATTATAAAATTAAAAATATGAAAATAAAGAGCAATTATGATCTAAAGAGTATCAAAATTTACAAAACAAAGCTTAATATTTATTTGTTTACTTTATTAAACATTTCTTTCAATGCGCGCTTGCGTAAAGCATACATTACGCATAGTCGGAATTAGAAAATTGCAACCAGAAAACTATTTGATGTGTATTCGTGATATTTATAATGATGAGGAATTTGATTTAAATCATATCAAAGACGCAGTACATCGAGATAAAATACTACATTTAGTAAGGAATTATAATTCAAATAAAATAAAAACATCTGCCCTGAAGATGAGGATAGTGCTGACAGATCAACTTCCAGTTCATTGCGCGCCGTGACGTTCCCCCCGCCGTGACGTTTAATTTATATTAAAATAAATTTCATTTGTCTTTTTTTTTTTTTTTTTTGTATATTTTTTAATGTTAAGAGTTTCCTATGTACTTGTTTCAGAATATTTAAATGTGTATGCTTTGTCTTGAAAATTCACTTTAGCCTTCTCTTTTGTGAATGTTTTATCAAAAATCTTCTGGCTTTTTGTTCTTACAAAGTTTATACGGATAATTTTTCTTTTAGAGTTTAGACCTTGCACCTTGGAAAATTTAAAGGCAAGATTTAAGACCGACAAATGTGATGAAATGAAAAGTGTCTTCATGGTATTAACACATAGTGGATGTGTTTTATAGGAAATTTGTAATTCTGTGACCTTGGCTCTGGTGCCGGTTTTGACCTTATATCATTTCATATTTACTACCAATACTTATATTATTAAAGAAATAAAATTAGCAGTTTCTTTTATACATTCTATATATAAGTAGTTCTTTAGAATAGCAAAAATCTTTAATAAATCTGAAAATTCTAAAATGACGATGAAATTCACTGAAAATGGGTTTTAAAGAGAGAAAATTATTCTTCAAAGATACAGTGTTGAAACCTTTACAAAGTAGGAGATGAAGCAGAGACTCATGGGACTTGATTTGTTTATTGAAAGAAACACACTTAAAAAAGAGAAGGAAATCAACGTAAATTAGCTAAAATATCTGGAAAATTTTCGAGCTAAAAAAAGTTGCATAAACATTTTGCTGTGTGTTGTTGCTACAAAGCATAAATTTTGTGTAGCTTTTAATGTATTAAAATCATTTTAGAATTAATATCATATGTTATAACTGCTGTAAAATGTTCTTAGTGCTTTTCTAATGGATATTTTTTAGAAGTAGACAAAAATTTTGACTGTAACTGTGCATGAATAAGAATATCTAACTACATAATTTAATTATTTGTAACTGACTGCCCATCCTTAGAAGTTATTTCTACATGAGTTATCTGCTTTCCTTAATCCTTATTACGTATGCAAGATACAACACAAAAATGTAAAAATTAACATAAAAATGTATTCTTTACAGCTAATAAAACTTAAAATAATAAAGAACAACCTATCATCTCTGGTACTTCAGTGGCTTATTAGAACTTTATATTAAATAATGTATATGAACTGGGTTGCAACTACAGCAAATACTAACTGGGTCAGACAAATGTGAACTAACTTTCAACACTTGCAAACATCTGGAGTTCATGTCTGTTCTGATCTGTGGCTGACTGTCTCTGAACAACCAACTGCCGTGGTAACAGCCAAACTTCTGTTATGAGTCATGCTGATTATTATTTTACTTTAAAATGTAACTTATGCCACTTGACATAAAATTTGCGTATGCCTCTGGACTGAGCAAGTACATGACGAAATGAGACATAAAAGAAACAATCAATATAAAGCTGTTAGCAAAATTTAAATAAAAGGTCACGATTGTTTAAAATATGTGGGACTATTATAAGTCTGAAATATAAATGTTGCAAGAAATTTCATAATTTAATGCTAATTACTTGAAAACAATTGTGAAGTTAATTTTATTCTTGAATTTGCTTTATAATTAAGTTAAATATTAGATTATGTTTAATAATAATGTATCATACTTACAGATTTATTGTATTCTTACAAATTAGAAAAGTCAAGTTCAAGTGTGGCTAATTGGGTACTTTTCCGTTTCGCCGGCGCAATTCTCGCCAAGCAGACTTTATTGGCGACAACATACAATGTACACATAAAAATTTTTAACAAATGTTAGTTCTAAGAATTTTTTATTTTGAAGGCATAAACATTTTAATATTGTTTAAAATTTTGTAAAAAGGCAATAAATAAAGACAAAAAAATTTTTAAAAAGACATTAATTTAATAATTTACTATGCTTTCACGGTTCAACATCTTGATTCGCCTATTTGTATCATGTGACCCCAAGTGATCTCATCTCACGTACACTATGCTACAAAAATGTAGTTCTCTCAGTAATTATCTACATTAATTTTAAGTTAAATTTTAATTTGGAATACAAGTTTAAATGCAAGAATTATTTCAATTTGTACGAATAGCTTACTTAGAAATTATGTAAACCGCAGTGCTTTACTTTGCTAGTGCATTCTCATTAGGATTGATGAGTGTAACCCTTGACTTTGCCTTTTCTATATTTTTGCCTTCGGGTGAGTGTTGTGATTGCATCCTAATCGACTTAATTACCGCGAATGGCCTTAAGGCATAAAATTGAACTATCTGGTAAAAATTCTATGTAATTGCATGCCAGTATTGAAAGAAACAATCAATCTAATAAGAAATGGCTGCTACTTGTTTTGAAAATGAGGCATAAAAGGTTAACAGCTAGGATATTCTGTTTGGCATCAGCTGTACCATTATTGGCGATTTTATCGCTTGCGCCAGCAAAACAGAAAAGTACCGATAATTTAGTCTGTTCCTATTTTTTTGACAGGTCCTTAATTTTTTTTCAATGATGGTCCTTAAAAGTTCTTAAAAGTTCTTAAAAGTACTTAATTTCCACGTGCAGCAATGAGTATGAATCCTGTGGATCACACAATTCACTCTTGTAACATCCATTATCAGCAAGAAATCTTCTGTTCACCCATAAACTGTGAAAACATTAGAAATGTACACACAGTGGAGCAAGCTTATCAACACAATTCTATATCGTTCTGTTTATTGCTATTTATTTGCCTTTCTATTGGTTTCTAGAACCATTTCATGCAGTGAGGATTTAAAGTTACACCCCTTTAAAATTTGAATAATGCAACAATATGTTCTCTATAATTTAAATCAGTGGAATAAATTTTGCAGGAAATTGATTGTTGCAAATAATAAAAAAAAGTGCTGAAATTTGTGAGTCACCTGAGAAAATCAGATGAAACTCATTTTTATCTAAAAGGATGTATCAACAAGAACTGTTCACATGTGTTGCATCAGAAGCCACTGCATGGTAAAAAAGTTACAATGTGGTGTGATGTTGGTGCATTTAGGGTAATCAGGCCTACTTCTTTAAAAATGCCAGTATTCACATCAGACCAATATGTGGTTATTAGATTCTCAATGATGAACTTTGTTGGCAGCATGTCAACATGTGTCTGGCATGGTTCTAAGTGGCGTAGCTAGGGTGGGGCAAGAGGGAACATCTGTCCCCGGGTGCAGCATCCAAGGGGCGCCAAATTGATGCTATGAAATTTTTTAATGAAATGTTTTCCATTCTTGGCACACAGAAAGGGCGCAAATTCTTCAATTGTCCCCGGGCGCTGGAAACTCTAGCTATGCCCCTGGGATTGTACCATCACTCTCACATCATAAAATTCAGTGGCTGTGATCCGAGGAATATTTCCACAATCTCATCAAATTTGCCGAGGAAAGTCAAGGATAATATCAGACAATGAGTAGAGATATGCCTTACCTCTAATGGAACTGAGTGATGTTATCTTAAAAACTGATTTGAAATAAAAGTACTTTTTCATATTTTTTATAATTTGTTTAGTTATTATTCAGTTTTCAATTAAAGTGCTTATTTTAGAATTATGAATCATTTAATTGTTTCCAACTCATCTTTACCTATTGTAGCCATACGTTTTATTCAGAAATTTTCCTATCTCTAAAAGTTACCATGTGTTTGGTGCATTATGGCCTTGCAGCTATGTGCCAAAATATTCACCAGCCAATTATCCTATCTTTAAAATGAACTTGTTTTAAGAAAATAAGTAATATATAATTAATTACTAAAAATATTCTAATTATATTCAGGTAATTTATAAAAATGTTTCTCTTTGTGTTTTAAAAATTGTATCGTGTGATAACACTAAAATTGTTGTTATAGGTAATTTTGATCCATGTTATAAATTATAGCACAGAATGCAAGACTAATATTATTGGAAACTAAAATTAGCTTTCTTTCAATTAATTTTAGCTTTCTTTTTATACAATTATGTAAAAAAACATATCTAAATGATGTTAAAATTTTTAGGAACTGCATCTAAAGAAAAATTTAAGTGTCTTAAATTAAATGATGCATGAGTTGTTTTGACCCATATAATGCTTCCTAAGAGTACAATATCAGTTCTCTTCATTTTAGGTATATGGCCATCAGAAGAAGTTTTAACATATTATTGTATGAAAAATAAAGAACTTTTTGGGTATGAAATTCTTATATTAAAATTCTTATTTCTTTTATCTTCTCAAAATTAATTAAATTACTCTTCCCGGTTAAAAAGTCATTGATTTTGTGTTCACATTTAGAGTAAAATCAGTGCTATTTTTAATATGTATAATATTGCAAAGCAAATTACATTAGAATCTATATTAATCCCATCATTTGGTTACAATTTGAATAGTTGTTAAAGTAAGTTTTGTTATGCAGCTTTTTAGAGGACGTGGGTTAAATGAACTAAAAGGTAATCTTTTGTTGATTAAATGTGCCGCTGACATCAAGTACCCATATGTGTTTAAAATACATATTCAAACATATTTTATTACACAGTGAACATAAGTTAATATTTTTGGTAATATATTTTTAAATATACTGATATATCTTACTGTCTTGCAGCATTTGCATTTTGTTATAATGTCTGGAATGGTACAAAAGTAATTGAAATTATGTGAATATCATGAAAATACAGAGAAGCTCTGTATTATATGAATACAAAGAAATTAAAAGTTAGCTCATTCTGAGTAATGGGAGACATAGACTTATTCATGATTTACCTAATATGAAATCATTAAGTTTAATTCACATTTTTCATTTTTGCTGTTGTACAGAATTTTTCATGTACATCTTTTGATTCATTTTACCTGAGATGTCTTGAGGATGCAGGAGCTGTTAAGGAGACAGAAAGTGTTGTCCTTTGCTAAAATCAAAATTGGAATAATTAAAAATGCAATCCAGATGAGAAATATTTAATTGGAGATAATTAAACAACACTGCACAAAGTTTTTTGATCAAACTTGGTTGAAATTTGTTTAAATTGCCTTTATATTACTCATTTTATCTCTTTTTAGTAGTACTAATCTATTATATGGATTTTTATTGCTGAATTTTAGTAAAAAATTGGGATGCATAAATTTATGCATAAATCTGACTGATTGTGTTTGTAAATTGAAATAAAGCCTTTGACCTATATGGGGAGAGAATGAAAATAAAAGTTAAAAAGACTAATTTTATTCATGATATTAATGTGTGACCTGTTAAATTGTAATTTCGTCAAACTGATAAATATTGTAGAAAATTATAAAAGACATTAATTAAAAACTTGTGATAAGTTGTATTTGAATGTCTAAGAATCAGATGTATGATAAACTCACTATAATTTACTGTTATTTTAAAAGTATTTGAAAGCTGCTGTAGTCAAGTGGCGCCCATTGCCATAATGTTCGGCATGTGTTTGAGTCCCAAAAAAGGCATGAATATTTGTAAATGTTTAATGTCTCTATGATGTGAGGCACTTAAAATATTGTTACGGATTTGGTATTTAAATAGCTAATATTAGTTGAATCATAAATTAAACTGTTTTATTCCCCATGCAGTGCAGCATGTGACAAATATTAAAGGAAAGCAAAGCCGGAAAAAGTTTTAAAAAATACAAGTGTACGTGCATTTAACATTTAATAAATAAATATCTCTTTTTTGATTTCGAGAAAGTTCCAGAAAATTCTCGCTCGCAATTTAAAATCTTATAAAAAGGAGGAAAACGTCTCAATTCAGTTAGTTTGTTGTTGTTTTAAGAGTTTGTTTAGAAAACTGCTCTTGTTCACTGTAGTGAATTCGCGGATTAGCTTTCTGTAACTGTTTTGAATTCAGTTCTGTTGAACGTTTGAGTAGTTAAAAGATAACTACTGTGAGATATTGTAATACTATACGAATATCTGAGAAAATTGAAGTATTGTGGTTTTATTTATTTGTGATAGTAATAAATCTTATTCATTTTTCATCGGACTTGTGCATTCAATTCTTAACGAACCAGTACACATGCAACAATTTTTGTTGCCAGAAGTGGGATTTGAATGCCGATAACAAGAGCAATGGAAGAACAATTAAGACAGTTGATATCAGCCTTTGCTTCGTTTAAAGAAGAAATGAAAGCAGAGATGAAATCTGGTCAGGAAAAGATGGAAGAATCTGTTACAAAAGAGATGAAAGCTGTTAAAGTAGAAATGAAGACTGTTCAAGAAATGATTGAAGCAGGTCAAGAGGAAATGAAAAGAGAAATTACCAGCATAATAGAAAACAAATTCGAAGTTATGGAAGGCAGAATTGACGAAGTTGAAAATAAAGTTGGACACATTGAAGAAAAAGTTTCTTCGGTAAAAAAAGAAATAGAAGAGAGAGTTTGTGTCGTGGAGTGACAAATTAATGATAGGGCTGCGGTCACCAAAGAAGTTGATGATTTAAAGAAATTCGTAGCAACAGCAGGGAGCAATCCGTATGGGTTTTAATTTCTACCTATGCTTGCTCGTCCTTCTCTGAAACTATCTACATATGATGGGAAGACCCCCTGACAAGTGTATAAGACACAATTTTCTGTCATGGTGGATGCGAATGAATGGGATTCCCAAGCTAAGGCCTGTCATCTCGCCGCTTCTCTGAGAGCAGACGCAGCGGATGTCCTGCAGACTGTTCCTGAAAACCAGATATTAGACTTCGAAGCTCTGTCCAGCGCATTGGAGCTGCGGTTTTAGAGAAATGTTTGAAAGACTACAGTAGGCTTCAGTTAAAATCCCGTCAACAGAAGCCCACCAAATCACTCCAGGAGCTCGCCACGGATGTTGAAAGGCTGTCCCATCTCGCCTTTTCAGAGTGCCCGACGGAAACAAGGGAAATCCTGTCCCTGCAATACTTTTTTTTTTTTCGATGGCATTCGTGATTCTGAAATGCAGAAGGCTGTACGAATGGCGGATGTTAAAGATTTGAAAAGCGCTCTGTTGTACGCCGTTGTTGGAAGCAGCCCAGCAAGCAACTCGTAGAGATCGCTACCCAGTTAGAGCTGTGTGAGTCCACGAGCCAGGGATCAATTGATGGCTCATTTAGATGATTTAGTCAGAGAAGTCAATGCTTTGATATGGAGTAGAAGGGAGAACAAAGTGGCTCTAAGGTGTTGGAAATGTCTTATTGAAGGGCACATACTACGGCACTGCAAGAACATCCCAGGGCATGGATAATAAAACGGATGATTTGACTAGACCAGTGAATGCCTTTAGATGGAATATTGGTGAGAAGAAACCAGCCCTAAAGTGCTGGAACTGCGATATTGAAGGCCACTTATGAAGGAACTGCAGAACAACCCAGAGCATGGAAAATAGGAGAGGCGGTTTAAACAGACAATTAAATGCCATGGAACGGAAAAGGAGTGACAAGAAACCAAAGTGTTGGTACTGTAGAGCTGAAGGCCACATAGGAAAGAATTGCAGAGCACCCCAGGGTACGGAAAATAAGATCATTTCCCAGCAACGACGCAGGAAACAAATTAATGGCCATATCGAGGAACGGACGTTTCCAGATATTGAAAAACCCTGTTTTAAAGCACTTAAAATTTCTACAGTGAGTGGCAACAGTAACGGACTGTGCATCAATGGGAATATCGAAGGCGTTCCTTGCAATATGATCATTGACCCTGGAGCTAATGTTACCATCATTCAGAAGGATTTAGCTCAACAGTTTAAAGATAAACTTATTTGGACGCCATCCTGTATTACCCTTCAGACTGCATCTGGTGATAAGATCGACATAGCTGGGAAGTTAAACGTGAGTATCATGTTTGGAAGTGCCGTCTACCGTCACACGGCATATGTGGTGGATATTACAGATCCATGCATACTCAGACTGGACTTTTTAAGGAAATAGAATTTTTCCTTAGACTTCAAAAGCAATAAACTGGTTTCAGCATCTGATAACATGACTATCCATCCTCAGAAGGGATCCTCACCTGAAAATGCTGATGTCTTGTCCAAAAGACCCAGCTCGGGAAGCTGCCGAAATCATACTAGGGTCGAAAAGAAATGCAAGACTAGCAGCTATTCTCCATCTCAGATGCTCTTCGGTCGAGACATTCGTCTGTCTCGTGACCACCTGTTGCGCCTTCATCGCCTCAGGAATACATCCAAGATGTCCAGGCACTGTTTGAAGAGATGCTCGAAAGCGAGTCAACTTTGTGACGGAGAAAGTGAAGACCAGATACGACACAAGAGCTACTGAACATCAATTCCACGAAGGAGACAAGGTGTGTTTGTGGAGTCTGACTCGATGGAAAGGACTGTCCGAAATTACAGTCATCTTGGGATGGTCCGTACACAGTCCTAAACAGGTTGAATGACGTCGTGGTTCGGATCCGTAAGTCTTCGAACTCTAAACCTAAAGTTGTTCATTACGACAGGTTAGCTCATTACTATGGCCATAGTACATAGTGTAAATAATTGTAAATAGTGTAATACCAGGGTCCTTTTTGTGTCTAAATTTGTATTTAGTGTTTGTTTTATATTTGATTTGTATTTTGTATTTTATTTGTATTTAGTATTTGATAGCATTTGATTTGTTTAAAGTTTGTTATTGCATTTATTGTTCATGTTGTTTGTTATTGTAATGTAATGTTTATTATTGTGTTTATGCCTTAGTTGTAAGTTTGGCTTCCTGTCCAGGGGTTGTACTGCCCGGGACGTGCAGTCCTTGGGAAGGGGGCAGTGTTACGGATTTGGTATTTAAATAGCTAATGTTAGTTGAATCAAATTAAATATTTTTATTTACCATGCTGTGCAGCGCATGATGAATATTAAAGGAAAGCTAAGCCGGAAAAAATTAAAAAAAATTACAAGGGCACGTGCATTTAACATTTAATAAATAAATATATCTTTTTGATTTTGAGAAAGTTCAAGAAAATTCTCGTGCGCAATTTAAAATCTTATAAAAAGGAGGAAAACCTCTCAATTCAGTTAGTTCTCTTTATTAGAATTGGGATGGTGTTGGCAGATTTGTACTTTCACTTATAATTAGCTCAAAGACTTGGTTGTTCTGGCTATGATGAATTTATGGACCTGTCAGATCAGAAGGATTAGTTGCTACGTGTGTCTAAAAGCTTAATTATAGCAGAGCAAATTATTTTTAAATTATTTTTTAAACAATGAGTGAAATCATAATATGCAATAAAGTGAAAATTTTGGATCAATGGGTCTCATTCTTTTTTTTTTGGGGGGGGGGAGAATCCCATTTGTCCCTTTTCACTACTGTCTCATTAGGTGCCTTCCAAATAATTTGTGAAACTGGAAATATTTTACTTCATAATTAAATATTAAAGGATAACCTGGAAAAAAGAAAAGCTTACTAGATTTTGCAAAAAAAAAAAAAAAAAAAAAAAAAAAAAAAAAAAAAAGCTTTTGTGATAATTATATTAAGACTATTACATTATTATTATTGATTAAATTTATAGTAATTTTTTTTTTTTTTGTATTTATATTTTTTACATCAGTTTTCTGTTTGTATGTTTGCTTTCAGAGGTAAGAGTGTTTGTGAACTTGGAGGTGGTATGGCTAGCTTAAGTGGCTTAGCGGTAAGTCCATTAAATCCTTTTATAAAATTAGAAAAGTTATTTTTGTTTTTTGAAAGATATTTTGTATGCTATCTTATGTTGTTATTTAACTGAAATACATCTACTTGGCTGCAGTTTTGTGCAAAATATTGCAGAATTTTATTTTTAGGTGTTCTGAAGAAAAGTATTTTAATAAAAAAATACTTGAGAGATGGAATTTTGATATATAAAGTGTTTGCCTTAAATAAGAAACTAAATTTTTGCATTATTGTGATGAGCTCAGCATTTCAAAATAATAATTTAAAAAAATCTATTACTGTGCATCACTTTTGTATAGTGTATGTAGTATTTTTTTATACAAGTTCTGATATAAAACAAGAGATTAGTTTTAGATATTTATATAAATTTAACAAAAGACACAGACTGTTCAGATTTTTCACGACAATCTGAATGTATTGAAAGGATACTTGTTGGTTATCTAGCATCTGCTGATGCATCATAAAAAATATCACCCATTTCTCTGATTTTTGTGAGTGTCTAGTAATCATAAAAAAGCTGTCCTTAATTCTTCTACAAAGATGAGATTTTTATTTATTAATTTGGTTCTCTTTTGGGGGAGGTAGGGATGGCTTGTTTTCTTTTTAATTTGATTTCAACTTCATTCCAAGACTTCCATGCACATATAATGAAATGCATGTAAGCATCAGCAAAAGATCAGATTTCATCATTTAAAATTGTCAGTAGATAGTTTGTGGTGTACCTGTGGGTACATGACGGGCAAGTTCTGAAAAAAGTTGTGTCAAATTTGTCTAAGGTTTGTATCCCTGATAAAAAAAGATGGTCATAATTGAGGGAGAGGGAAATAAAAGAATTTGTATTGATATTTGAGAGTAATTTGAAGGAACTAGTAACTTTTTGAGCAAAATCATTACTTGAAATTTCACAATACAGTACAAAGTCCAAAATCCGGACTCGGGACTTCGGCGATTCCGTATTTGGAATTTTTCTGGATTATAGATCATCGGTTTAAATCTGGTAAGATGACATGGAGAAATTATACAAATAAAAATATGAAACCATAATTTATGAAATAAAGAGCAATTATGATCTAAAGGGTATCAAATTTTACAAAAAAAAAAAAGCTTAATATTTATTTGTTTATTTTATTAAACATTTCTTTCAATGTAAGTTGTTTAAGTAGGTTCATTTTTTGTGCTAATACTTTCTCTTTAATTCAATAAACAAACATAATTTCTTGTTCAGTTACAAAGTTCCACTGTTCAAGTCTTGTATTTGCTATGTCAAGAATACCAACTAATTTGTCAATCAAAAATTTTTTCATTTTCAATAACCTCTCTGTCATTATCGATAGCAGTATTTTCTGGATCTAGAACATACTACAGATTTTGCCATCCGTTAATTGATTGATGATTGGGGCATTGTCATCACAATGAAAAACTTCTGTTATATAATCTTCATTTATTACTGCTTCTCCACATTTCTTTACAATATCCATTAACTGGAAAATTTCACCTTTAGTTTTCAATATCCGAAAACCTTCAAATTCGTGGCTATTATCTTCATCGTCCTCACCATGAAATATGGTACTAGCTGGCCATAAATTATGCAAAGCATTTTTTTAACGTATCTGGAAACACACCCTTCCAAGATCTTGCTATGCTCCACACAGCAGATTTTATGCTAAAATGTTTAAAAAATTCTTGAATAATCTTGCCACTGTTCAAGAAATTTAACATGGATTTTAAAAATGTTACTTTATATTTGCATTTCAGCGTGCACACTATTTCGATATCCATAGGCTAAATGGCAGATGCACAATTTGGAGGAAAGAATAATACGGATACATTATCTTTCACTAAAACTTTTAAGTGAAGTATGAGCTGAACAGTTGTCTACTATCAGGACTATTTTTGAGTCATCAGGTAAACCAACTGAATTCAAATGTTGCTGATCCTCAGATATAAAATGATTTTCAAACCAATCATTCATTAATGCTTGTGTCATCCATGCTCTTTTATTTGCATGATATGTAACGGGAAAAATTGTTACTCCTTTAAATGCTCGATGTTCATTCATGTTTTCCGATTATGAAAAGTTTGCGTTGTAAAAACTTCTCATTCCTTAGTTTTTGCTGCTCGGTGCTTCCCCAAATTCCAAAAATTTTGTCTTTCATAAATTCTGCCATACAGTGCTGACATATTCTGCCAGTGTTTCTGGGTTTATGTTGAATAACATATCAGTTATTCTGAATTAAAATAGCACTAAATGTAATCTTTTGGCCTATGAGTTTCATTAACACAATCTATTTTTAGCATATGAAAAGAAATTTTTGTTGAATTTTTCCTTATCAACATTTCTTAGAGCATTAAAAATCTATAATCATTGCCAAGCGAAATATTAGCATAAAAGGTTGCCATACTCTTGTTATTCAATTACTAATATAAAAAAAGTGTAGACATCACTGCATGAGTTATTACTGAAGCTGTCATGTGTTGATAAACATGCAGTGATGAAAGCAAAATATAATAAATGATGACTCGCTAGGTCGGCGTCAAGGGTATAAAATAGGTGAATGTTTCGATTTGAGATATATGCCAAGCAGATACTCAGCTATGGAGCCAAATTATTAATCTCACAAATTTATGCTTACACATGATTGTTTTTCATTATGATGTATTTTATTTAGTGTCTAAATGAAATTAAGAACTGGAATTTTTAGGTGAAAATCTCCACATGTTTTATTATGGAAGGAAAAATCAAATGTGCATGCGTAAAACACACTAAAAAAAAAAGTTTGTGGCTTTGAGGTCCAGATTTTAGATCATTCTGGATAATGGACGTCTGGATTTTGGACTTTGTACTGTACAATCTTTAGGCAAAATAATGAAAACCACAGTTGCTACTAATGGTGAAGAAAGCATGACAGTGCAAGCTAGATAGAAAAGGACATGCCTTTATGCTGTGATATCCGAGCTTAGTTTTAGGAAAAGTAATTCGATATGGAGTTACAGTGAACCAATATTGCTACTAGAAAATTTTAAAAATGTTCAAAAAGGCTAAAAAGAGGCCTGGGTGTGGGGCAGCCTTTTTTTATCCAAACTAAAGGTAGTTGTCTTAATTTGTGAGTAACTGTTATTGCAGAATACATTGACTGCTTGAATGTTAATTTGTGCTGTCATATAATGTGAATATGAGTTGAGTTAGCTTTCTCTTTAAGAAGTTTTCTGTGAAAGCAAACTTTCAGTGATTTATCCTAATCAATCAACTATCCATTGTGTTCATTGTTGAGAAGCAACTGACAGTCATGTGAAGATAAAATAGAAAGTATGATGGAATTTGCATCAAAAAGGATTCTTTAGAGAGCTGCAAGATTTACTAAATATTTCCTTTGTTTTTATTGTGAGCTGTATGTTGCCACTGTATAATTGCTTTGAAATATAATAAAAGGAAAATAATTTATATATTAGATCAAATACTTATATAACAAGAAAAATATAATTTTATTAAAAATAGTTATCAGAAAGATAAGCATTTCCTGAAAGAATTCATTATAATTCAAATACTGTATATTTTTAAATATAAGCTGAAAGGTAAGATATTACTGGAAAAAAAAAAGCCACAAAGTGAAAGCTCTCGTATTAACCAAATTCAGAATCTTCTATAAATTAAGCTATGCATTGTTAAAAGTTTGAATAATTGGCTGTCCAGCTCAAATAGATTTTCAAACAAGTTGAAGGTAAGGGTTGAATTTCTCATCCATTCAAAAAATAAGCCAAAATTGATTATTTATTTGATCATTAAAAAAATGTTGCATCAAACAATGGAACAGAATGTGATATCTATGAGGTGGATGGTGACACTGTTATGATGAAATGTTAGGTAATGCAATTCACCTGAACTTGTTTATAGTAGAGGAAGACTCAATTCCAAGAATTGTTATTATAAAATTTTTAGTCAAGTAATAATAGAAAAATTCAGTTATTTTATATTAAGATTAAGCAACAGCAAGATAAAAATATTATTTCAATATTTATCTTTATGACAAAATATTTATTAAGTCATCCTGAACTCTTTTTAAGCCAACCTCCAAACTTCAGTAGAGAAAAATTACTCAGCTCATACATAGAAATATATTGTATTTCATTTTATTACAGCATTTGTTATAGGAAGCATAATAACATTTCTAATACTTATCTGTACAGTAAAACCAAGATATGAGCACCTCTATATACGAGAAATTCGAGATATGTGGAAAGTATGAGCAAAAAATTCGTCTTTAAATATGGACATAAGACTCGAGTAACAACCCAGGTTGTTGCTATGCGTGACACGTTTCCTATTCCAGCTCGACTTGGGAAATCTTCTCGTCATATCACTCAGTGTTCTTTGATCTATGTGTTTGTTAGTTAATTGTTTTATAAATTTAACATGAAAATAATTATTTCGTTATGCCTCTCAAGAAGATTGTTGGCCCAGCTAGTGCTGCAAAGAAAAAGAAAGAACCCATGGCTGTTGAAAGTAGGAAAGGAAGGTGTTGTAAGAGTGATGGAATTGGCGAAGACTTATGGCTGTACAACATCGACGATCTGCACTATTCTGAAGAAGGAGGAAGAAATTAAGAAACTTGTTGTGGCCAAAGGAGTTACCTTTACATCCAAGCACAGTCCAAAACTCCTAGAAGATGTTGAGAAGCTGTTGGTGTGGATTAACAAGAAACAGTTAAAAGGCGATTCAGTGTCAGAAGCTATCATTTCCACTAAGGCTAAGAATCTGTACTTGAACCTTCTTCTGAAAACACCTAAGTATTATTTACCAGGGTTATTTTTTAGGAAAATTTATTTATATATTTATATTTTTTGGATGCAGAATGGATTAACTGGATTTCCATTATTTTCAATGGGGAAATTTGTTTCTAGATGCGAGGAATATGCTATACAAGCTCAATGCTGGAAAAAATTAAATTTGTATCTCGAGGTTCCACTGGAATTTAGGTATAATTTATAAATCCAATATTAACTTAAGTATTGTAGTAAAACAATTTTGTATTTTTCTTCTAGGTTGCAGCTACTGCAGGAGCTAAAGAAGTTTTTGTTACTGATGGAAACATCCGCTGTGTACAAAGTATCCTTTTTTTAAAGTTTATATAAAACTATTTTTTCAGAATCTTAATATTTGATGTATGTGTTACTTCAGGATAATTTCTAAACAATATCAAATTCAAAATTGCTGTTACTATGTTGGGATTTTGATTTCAAAGTAGCTGAAGGCTCTTATCTTATTTTCAGTGCATTTCATTTACATGTCTAATGCAAAAAAATGCAGAAAGTTTTTTTTTCCTGGAAAGCAAAATATTGCATGAATCCATATTCCAAAGTAAACAAATGCAAAGTAATATGAATTGCTTTACAAAGTAACTGCTACAGAATGTAGGTATTTATTGAACCCTTAGAAAACTGAAGCCTTCACTAACCGGAAATGTTTAAAAACACCGAAATGCCCAAAATTTCTTTTGGGATTCTCAGCAATTTCCTCCCCTCTCATTCTATTAATGCACAAAGAGGTATATAGATTTCAAATGACATCCTTTCTACTTCCTAAAGAAGGAGCTTTCATTAGCCCTCGAGCACATTCTTTATAAATCTATTCAGAAGGTCAGATCAACAAGCCTCTCAGGCTTTGTTATGATCACAATTGAGATTTTATTTATTTCCGTTATTTTTATCACAACTGAGATTTTGTTTATTTCCGTTATTTTTATATCAGGTTGACTAAAAAATTATAATAAAATAACTCCTGTTTAAACAGAAGATATTTTATCATAAATTCAGTGTGGAAAAATTTCTAGGTTTTTATAAAGAATATAAAAATAAACCCTGCTGAACAAAATACATATATTATTATTACACGATTTTTTGCACAGTTTAAGGAATGCCTTTACTGCATGAAAAAAGGGTTGGGTGAACTGATATAACGAACTTCCTTCAATTATTGGTTTACATATGTTTCGTAGAAAATAAGTGAATTGTGAAAGAGTATTTATTTTGTGAACCTCTGTATGATAGAGCAACTGGAAATAAAATTTTCAAAGTAATTGACAATTTTGTGTCTGAGAATAATATTCCTTGGAATAAGTGCATTGCCGTATGCAGTGACGGGCTGTAAAAGGAAAAAATTCCAGTGTTATTTCTCAAATAAAGAAAATTGAACCTGAAACTAAATTTACTCATTGCTCCATTCATCATGAAGATTAAGTAGTCAAAACACTCCCTGAAAATTGTTTCGAATCAATTGAATTAATTGAATTGAATATTCAATTGTTAATTTTATTCAAAGATGAGGCTTAAATTTAAGAATATTTACGATTTTATGCCAAGAGATGAGCAGTAAACATGAAATGCTTTTATTATATTCTGAAGTAAAGTAGTTATCCAAAAGCAAAGTTTTAAATAATCTTTTTGATCCTTGATCAGAAATTCAAATTTTTCTCTGTGATTCAAAATTTGAATTGCAAATTTGTTTATTTAGTGAATTATGGTTACGGTGTTTAACATATTATCTGTATTTTTAGGAAGTTAAATGAATTAAATTTAGTACAAGGACAAAGTGCTAATTTGCTTACCATTAGAGATAAAATAAATACAATGATTAAAAAAAAACTCAAGCTAATAATTAAAGAATTGGATAGTAATTTTTTAAGCTTTTTACCACTTTTAGAAAAGTTTTCTAACCAAAACTAATTTGATAATAAAAGAATTAGCATCTGACATGGAAAACATTCTTTTTCATTGATGAATAATTTCAACATGTATTTTTCAGAAGATTATGAAAAAGAAAATTGGATTAGAAATCCATTTTGTTCAAATGTGCCTGAAATTTTATCTCGAAGAAAAAGAACAGTCGATAGAAATTTCCTGTGATTGAACTCTAACTGAAGATTTTAAAAATAACACAATCGTTGACTTCTAGCTGAACTGAAAAATAAATAAATAAATAAATAAATAATAAATAAAGGTATCTCAAATAAAGCTATTAAATTTTTATTGCGATTTTGCACCATTTGTTTTTGTGAACAAGGATTCTCTTCCGTGTTATATTTGAAAAATAAATACAGAACAAAATTAAAAGTGGATCCTAATTTACAGTTAAAACTAAGTGAAATAAGACTAGACATAAAGAAATTAATCTCTGTTAAACAAGCCCAAATTTATAACTAAATTTTAAAGTATTTTAACTTAAATTTTGGTAGTTAAAATGCAAACCAATTTTTAATCTAATGTTTTTTTATGTGTGCATATTTAATACAAATAGTCAAGAGGTTGCGCAAATGGCAAAATAATTGTTTTTAAATATTTCTATTGAGAAACTGAAAAATAATCATTGTAAAATGTAGTGGTGGTACTAAAGTTTTTCAATTTTTGTTTAGTTGGTAGGCATTAGTCAAAAGGTTGAGAACTGCTGATATAGACTGTTTCTTTGGTACATCTAATGAACTTAACTGCTTACAGATGTGCAATGTATTATAGAACAGAATCTTGAATTTTTTGGAGCAACTCATGTTGTTAGCCGGTAATATTTTTCTCTTATTTTTCAGCTGATTAATATTACATATATATGAAGATTTGTTATCTTATATAAAATAAACCAGTTTAAATTTAGCTATTGCAAAAAACATTTTTTTAAAATATATAATAAATATATATATCTTAAAAATGTATATGTGTCTAATTATTCTAAACCATTTATTTAACACACTGACTACCAGTATGAGATATTTTGCAGGAAGCTATCTGACCAAAGAATTTGAATGGGAGAAAACTTAAAAAGCTTCAGTGACACAGCAAAGCTTTTGAGAAAAATTCATTTGAAAAGGAGTATTGCGTATTTAAGTACGAAAATGAATAATTGTGAAACAACAAAACAAAACAAAAAAAACAAAAAAAAAAAAAAAAAAAAAACTGTTTCTGTGAATTAAAAAAACAGTATCTAAAGCATACTGCAGAACAAAAATTTCTAGAAATAAACAAAAAAATAATTCGCAGACAGAAGATTTATGCATTGTACTTCACTAACATTTAAACTAGGGCAGATTTTTTGCAAATGAATTTTGCCAGCACTCTGTGTGTTTGCTTCACTACAAACTGGAATGGATTTTAAAGTTGTCTGATACAAGTAAACTGGTTTATGTTGTGCTTAGAACTTGTCTTTTTCTCCTATTCATTTTCTTTGATCTGGCCAAGAGGACTGCCTATAAGATAATTCTTAGTTGCTGGACTTGTAATGAATTTATAAATGCATTGCTGGCTGTGCATTAGCTTATAGTTAGCTGCTGCAAAGAACTTTCTCTTACATATAACAACTGTAAGAAAACTTCGAATTTTTTAAAGAAAGTTTGGTACTTGCATGTTATCCTTTCAACTGTAAAACTGTTGCTAAGCAGCGCTACTCACTCATAACATCTGTGTTTTCGCTTAATTTAGCTTCAGTTGATTCTCAATAAGCCACCCTTTGTTTTCACGTACAAGGATATAAATTAACTGTTACTATTGTAACTTTTTTTTTTTTGTATTTTTAAACAAATTGTCAAAATCTGGGACCTGCCTTTTACATAACAGAAGACAGTAGATTAGTTTCAAAGTTATGCGATCCTACTGTAAAATAATTCTCCATTAATGGGCAAGATATGGTACTTTGGTTGTGAAACATGGAAAGTTGTAACAAGAGGATATCTATCCAGAAAGAAAATTCGAGGCATCTCCATTTGTGACTGCTTTTTGGTTTATTTACAGGTGATCGAGAGAATTAACATCTGTTAAATGAGGGGGAAAAAAGCAGCTGGATATGGCTGACAATATCATAATATGTTGGAACAATTACCCATGAAGATTCTACTCATAGCATTCTAAACAGAGTTACTGGTAAAACCGGAGGGATCAAAAAATTATAGGAATCAACAAAAGCCTTTTTATGAAGTGCAAAAACGAAGCACAGATAGTCTATTAAATAAACCATTAAGGCATTAGTTCATCCAGAATTCCACTAGAAATGATGATTGCAACTTTGTGATATCTCCATCAGTTTCATGATCGATGGGATAATATGCAAGTACCGAATGTTCTGTATGTTCTTTGATTGTTACTGTATATAATAATTAGTATTTTGAGTAATATGATGTTATTATTTAGATTGGCACTTGAGAATGAAGCCGTATGGCTGTAATTGTCACAGTTATCAGTGTAAATCAGACTGGCTTTTGAGAATGAAATCATAAAAGTTGTCATGCCCATCAGTATGTTAAGAATGCTGATATTACATTTCTTCTGATATAACAAATATTATATGCATTATTAGCATATTGTTTTACTATAGAAGCTAACATAGTTTCTTTCAGATAGTTTTAAAAAAAATATTTTGTTAAACAATTTTGATCTAAAAGTAGAAGCTTTTCTTTTTTCTTAATATTAGGTTTCTAAGCATGAACCTGAATAAGGATTTGTCTAAATCTGTCTTAGTGTTCTAAAGAATAACGCTGATTAATATTTTTTTCTTGAATATAGTTGTATAGAATATGGTGGTTCTAAGAAAAAAATAGTTTGTTATTACACATTCATAAATTTTATAGTATAGTGCATTTATGATGATAAATGTGCAAATAGAAAAATATGTGCTTTAAAAAAGGATTTCACTGCTAATAAATATTTTTGTTATTGTATAACAAATTTTGAAGTAGGTTATAGCATATCAGTTTTTTTTTCTTTATTCTGTCTTACTGTTAGAGTTAAGGCAAATTTGACCTGATGTTTAAAAAATAATAGCCAGCTAGATGTAATAGCCAGTCAAATCTTTGGAGAAGTGAAAATAGTTACCCCAAGTTTAGTTATTAATTTTGTGAATATTTGATGATTTAAAGTTGATTTATAGTTTTTATATTAGAAACGGAAATTTCTCATTTAATTTATATTATGTGATAAAGTTTATTTAAAATTTTTACATGCTGTTAAAGGCTTCTACGTTGGGATATGGATGAAGATCTGACTGACTGTAGAACAAGATTTGATGTAGTGCTTTGTGCTGACTGGTAAAATTTTTTTAAACATTAATGTTGAATATGTAATACACTTGATTTTTAATAGTTTATTATTTACTTCGGAATACAAAGGCATCTTCATTTGTGTTAAATATTTTGCATATTTCTTTAAAGCATGTTATTAATAATAATCAAAATGGCTTGTGAAATTTTTTAGTCTTTATTATGATGAAGGAAGACAGCCTCTGTCATCAACTATTTGGAAAATTTTAAAGGATAATGTAAGTTTAAAAAATTATTTTTCTATATTATTTACTTTTGGATATTATGTTTTATATGTTCTTGAATTCGATCATCGAGACAGTTCTGGAGTTTTTCAAATCAAATTATCTTTTCTTCTAATTATTTTATTATGCTGGTAAGGAGTGACCTTGATCAAAGTGAATGTTTAAAATGATGATATTGCATAATTCTAGCATGTGTTGTGACAAAATTTTTGTTGCAGTGTTGTGCTGAGAATGGAGAACCCAAAAGTTTTATTTTTGTTCTTTTATTTTAAAAAGAGAAAAAATACTAGTTAGACAACTCATAAAATTTCTGCTGTAAATGTACAAAGTGCTGTTTCTGCTAACAGAGTTCAAAAGTGTTTATAGGTGTCGAAATTCCTGTGCTGAAGATAACACCCACTATGGACGATCATCCTCAGTAAACAAGGACCTGTTAAAAGAACTTTCACATTTGTGGAAGTAAAAGAACTTCCACAAATCCACATTGTACAGTTCAAGAACTATGTATAAATATTCTTAAAAGTACAATATATGAACATTTGGAGAAGATTGGGTATGTAAGATGCTGCGATGTATGGCTGCCACATAATTTAACAAAGCAGAATATGCTTGCTTTAGTTTCACGTTTGATTCTTTGCTAAAAAGAAATAAAGAAGCTTCTTTTTTGAAGCAGCTCATTAATGGAGATGGAAAGTGGATACTATAATGTTACAAGAAAAGGATTATTGTGTAAGCTAAAAAAAAACCCTCCTTTAGTAACGTTGAGAAGGAGGCTGCATCCTCCCAAAAGAATGCTTTGTGTATAGTGAGACAACCAAGGAAATTTATATTATGAATTGTGGCTACCAAGTTGGACAATAAATTCGGAAAAGTATTATTCCCAAATGGCAGTTTTAAAAGCAAAAATCAAAGCATTAATTAAGTGTGTGGAACTTACCTATCGTCATTGTCTTTCAATGTGAAAATGCTCACCCTCATATTTCAATGAATGTCAGAGAAAGACGTATTGAGTAGGATGTTTTGTCTCATCCTTCCCCCACATTTTAACTAGACCTTGCCCCTCAGATTTTAATCTCTTCAGGTCACCTTCGAAATTTTTTGACTTGCCTGAAGTTCACTTCTTTGGAGATTGTAAAACAGCACTTTATGCATAAATCTAGTAGTCTTTTTAAAAAAGAAATTATCAAGCTGCCAGAGAGATGGCAAAAAGTAATAGAACAAATTAGTACTTTGAGATTCAATGCAATTTTCTTTTGTTTTCATATTGTTTCATTTATATTTATTATCAAAAGAGTGCAGAATTTTATGTATGACCCTCTGCATTACAAAATGTTATTTTAATTTTTTAGTTCGCATCAGTTTTATATTCTAAAACAGGGATGGGCAAACCTTTTTGGTAACGGGCCAAAAATCGAAAAAAAAAAAAAAAAAAAAAGTATGGCGGGCCAAGATAAATTTTTCTAAAATTTGAAAAACAATATACAAGTATAGTGGTATCTCGACATATGAGTTTAATTCATTCCGTAACCTTGCTTGTATGTCAAATTGCTCGTATCTCAAAGCAATTTTCCCCATTGAAATTAATTGAAATGCCATTAACCCGTTCAAGCTCCCAAAACACCACCTCAGTTGTTTTTGTTAGTGTTTTTGAATAAGAAAAATGTATTTACAAGAAGAAACATTTATTTATAAATAATAAATATATATTCTATAAAAAACATAATTAAAAGAAAAAAAAAGTGAAGTGCTTAAGGAAGCGCTTAATTTTTGTCACTGGTCTTCACTTTTTTCGTCACGCTTTGCTCATTTTCACCTGCAGATCATTTAAAAAAACTGTCCAAGGAGGTTTGTTTCTTCCTTCCTTTCAGGATATTGCGAAAATGAGTTAGGCAAGTTTCGTTGAACAACTCCAATGCACGACCAGTTGCAACTTTTTCGGGGGGGGGAGGATTTTTATCCACGAACTCTATTAATTTCTCACACATTCCCAAGATCTCCTTTATATCTCTTGTAGGGATAGCCTCCTCCATCTTTGGCTCCTCTTCAAAATTAATTTTTCGTTGAACCACTGTATGCTGCTGCGAATGTAGATCGTGTAACTCCTCGGTTATCAGCTCCTGAGACTGTTCCTCGACAAGTTCTTTCACATCTCTCTCATCCATCTCCAGACCCATGGATTTTTCCAGAGAAGCAACTCTAGTCTGAGGTGGGAGAAACTGTTAGATGCTTCGTACGACACCAACATGCGCGCGCACGTGGCGCTCGTGTGCAGCGGTGTAGTGTGTGATTCTTCATATCTCAAATCTTGCTTTCATCTCAAAGCAAAATATTGCTTGCTTGGCGGCTCGTATCTCAAAACACTCGTATATCGAGGTACCACTGTATTACAATTTAAATATGTTAATGAGATGAATGAAATTGCAATTTCATTTTCAAAAGAGTCTTATATTGAGGTTCAAAGTGAGATGTACTGATTCTAAGGAATGAGGCTAAATGATCATCTGTCAGTCTACTTCTGAAATAATTCTTTCTAAGATTCATAGTTGAAAACACTTGTTCACATATATAAGATGAAGCAAACATAACACTGATTTTCTGGGCGTGAGATATTAAAATTTTGGAAATTTACTTTTGATAATAATTTGTAAAGCTCTAACTTTGGCATATTTAGAAACAACTGCTTGAGATGATTATTAGATTGCAACTCAATTAATTCAAGCTGCAAATCTGACCTTACTGCTTCACAACTTACATTGAAAGACATGGTAAAAATATCCAATTCTGTTTGAATGGCACTGAAATCTTGAAATCTGTGTGCAAACTCAAAATACAGATTTTTTCAAGCCATCTTCATTTGATGAGGGTGTTGAATTTAACCTCAAGAAATGAGACAAGTCATTCTTTTCAGCTGTCCAGCAAATAGATTAAGTTTTAGTTTAAAAGCTTTGAGATGGGACCAAATATCATTGATAAATTGATTCTTTCCCTGCATCTTGACATTATGCAGATTTACACAGAGCATCTTAATGTATAACACAATGTAGAAAACCAGCATTGTTCCCGGGATAGTTTTGACTAAAGAGTTCATGAAATCCAGATTTTTTTTCCTGTCGTATTAGATGCTCCATTGGTCGTAATATTACATATATTTGTTATAGGCACTTTCAAAGCTAAAAGCCCTTCCTGAAATTCACGTAAAATATCACGTCCCATTGTAGTTCCCTTTAAAGAATGCATGCATGCCATTTCCTCGGTAATTTCAAAGTTCTCATCAACACCTCTTTATAAATAATACTAATTGAGCAGTATCATGTATATCAGTGCTTTCATCCATAGCTATGGAGCAATTTAAACTGGCCAATCTTTGACTCTAATTGTGATCTCAACCTTTTATCGATGTCTTGGATTCTGAAGTCACCATTTTTCGAGTTAAGCTTACAGTCTCAAAATTATTTTTCTTGTCTGGAGATAAAACATCACAAACTTGGAGCATGCATTGTTTAACGAACTCCCCATCACTGAGTATTATTAGCAATAATTATATGTTACAATGTAACTTGCATGTGTTACATTGTAACATACAATTATTCTTCTTGGATATTGTCTAAGAAGCAGCTTGGACAATATCCAAGAAGCAGCTACTTTCTTGTCTTTTATATTCGGACATTGCTTCATTGTTGGAATTCTTATGCCTAGATGTGAAATGACGGGAAATGTTATATTCCTTGAAGACTGCTACAGCTTCATTGCAGATGAGACACATTGGTTTTTACAACTGTAAAGATTATTTTCAGGTCCATTTATCATTTAAAGCATGGCATTCTGAATCAACTTTACATTTTTTAGTAAACATTTTGGGGTTGAAATATTTTACGAATGACCCAAACAAGCATTAGCTATGCTATACTTTTAATAATTTCACGACTATATACAATGATGCTGTATGTCCGCAATCTTTCCATATGCAGTTAATAATATTAGAACTCACAGGTGCAGCAAATTAGAATAGACTGTGACTCTTAATTAAACTAATTAATTAGCAAAACTAAGTTATAATATCTCATTATCTTTATTTTACTCATTTCGTGGAAGACACTCGTGCAACCACACACACTCCACTTTGCCACTGAAGCACATACGTAAACGCATGCCAGAAAGTTTGTAGCTTTGAGGTCCGGATTATAGATCATTGCGGATTATGGAATTCCGAATTAAAAGACTTCTGACTGTAATATGAACTACTTGTTCCAAATGATATGAACTGTTGTTCTCTTCCACCAGCTTGATTTTCATTTACGTTTATTATCATCGGCTCCGGAATTGTGTGTATAGGTCTTCCTATTAAGAAGTGACCTTGGGTCAAAATTTCATAACAATCAGAATGATTGGAAATGGGTGTAAATTTCGAATTTAGTGTAATAAAGCGAATTTAGTATTCCCTTCACCTGCACAATTATTGTTTCAAACTCCTCATACATAAAATGCAAATTTCCTATTGTTCTCTTTAAGTGATGCTTTATGGACTTTACACAGCTTCCCATAGCCCTCTGAATTGAGGGGACTTGGGAGGAATAAAGTTCTAATTTATTCCTTTGGACATAAAATATGAGGCCAAAGTTTTGTAGATAAAATTAATTACATTGTAAAATTTCTTCAGCAGAGAATTTGCTCTTACAAAATTAGGAGCATTATCAGTGAATATTTCACACATTTGCCACGTCTAGCCATGAAACGCTTAAGAGTGGCAATTAAAGCACTAGAAGTCACAAAGTAAATACATACACAAATGTAAATTTTATTTAGCACACCCTTTCTCTGATGCTTGTGTAAGTTACATAAAAGGGACTGCATAGATCCAAACCTGAAATACTAAATGGGGGTGATCTGTTAACTCTCTCGTATGGTAAATTACCCATAATCTGTGAAGACAAAATTGGTTTGCATTTAACCCTTTAACTGTCAAGTTATTTTGATGATTTGGGTACACAAATTGTCAAATTTTTTTATTGCAAAAATGAAATGTTTAGTACAAAATAAAATATACTTAAATAATTAAAAATTGATATTTTGACGTACATGGGTAAAATTTTTAAAGTTTTGTAGCCACTGCATATTTTCTTTGAGGTGGCTGCCACTCAACTTGGCAGTTGCAAAGTTCGCTTCTAGTGGAGCATTATTTTCTAAAAATGAAAAAAATTTATTATTTTCTAAAACATAAATAAATATAAGTGAATACCTATTAGTAGTTCAATAATTCAGTCTTGTGTGGTACAACTGGAAACACTTTTCCAAGCACAAACCAACTCCACAATCACTACACCAGAATCGTGATTCCTTCCTTATCTTTTCCCCATTTTTATCCTTTTTCGAACAACACACTTTGCACTGTCTTGTAGGCTTACGTTTCGCAGGAGTAAGAGGAAAATGGGATATACAATGTCGTTCAGTAAGACAGGCAGGGTTATCTATTGTAGGTGGTCTGCCAACATTCTTTTGTTCAGAAGCTGCATCATCATATTTATGTAAAAGCTCTTCTACAACTTGGATTCGAAATTCTAAAAATGTAATATGTTTCCCAACTACATTTTTATAGAGCAAATATGAGTTCCAGAGTACCTTGTCTAGTAAATGTAAAAATATCTTTTTTATAATATTTTTTCTGACGTTTTCAGATTGTTGGATGAAAGGATATTTCCTGATCACAGCGATCTACACCACCCATAGTTAGACCGTAATTAGAAACAATCTTCGGCTTGAGTATATCTCCATTTTTTATTTTTGAGGCTGACCATGGAAGTATCATGAATACTGCTCATCAAACGCACATCCTTCACCTTCGGTTGAAGAATCTAAATCATCTATATAACGTTTCAAAGAACTGGAGGCTATTTTACAACAAAAAGACCCCATGCACTTTGAACCAAATAACCTCTAACCTTTTAAATCTTCAGTAAAGTGCTGTCATCTATTGAACTGAGCGCACATTAACTTTTCCCGAGATACAGACGGGTTTGACAAAGAGATGAAGCCGAAATAAACGTCTCCCGATATATATTCGGGTATAACAATATGATGCACTCAAAATAAAAATAACCCCGAGTAATACTCGGGCGTGACATTTTCGAACACCAGTGCTGTACCCGAGATTATCTCGGGCATGACAGTTAAAAGGTTAAAGCATGTCACACAAAGGTGTAATGTTTTTCATGCCAAATCTCTATCACCTAATGACTTTTTCACGTACTGCATTCAATAATCCCTGAGGGCCAACATGCAATAATTGTCTGTGCACACTAGAAAAATAAATCTTACTTAGCTTCGAATTTCTTGTGAAGATCGCAGGATATTTCCGAGAAAATGGTAAACACACTTTTCAAGATGGATCACCAACACGAATTATTCCTTTACGATCAACAAAGAGATGTAAATTTTTTTAAAGTTACCTGTTATGTCCTTTTTACAAGATAGTGCCTTCTGCTCATGCTTAATAAGAGTTTTCTCAGCTGTTCTTACTTCTTTTAGTTGAAGAGGCCCTACCCTTTTTGATACATTCCTGCAATTATAAATGAACCTAAAAATATAAGAAAGAACATTAACAATTTTATATAATTGTTACTAACATTCAAGAGTTGGTCTAAAACATTAGAGTTCATGTCAATCAATGTAGTTCTCTCAGAAATGCCATCTATGTCAATAGGATATTTGTGGAAGGCACTCATGCAACCACACACACTCTGCTTCGCCATTGAAGCATAAAAAAAAGTAATAACATTCTTATGATGGCAGCACCATCTCGCTTCAAAGGAATTTAACACTCACGTCAAAAAGAAAAGGCCACTGGCTGGAGCTTAAAATGTGCAGTCTGCTACATGTGATATGTAATTCACCTTTATTGGATTCCCATATGTCTGCTCCCTGAGAAAGAGATAACGCTTGTTGGTGCCAATCTATAGGTATAACTAACAAAGAACTTCTGCTTTTAAGACTTTACTAATTGAAAGTCTGTCTGTACTTGCTATTTCCATCGATTTATGTTTTGTAGAACAAAAATAGAGAAATTAAAAAGATCATCAGTCCTTTGAAAAAAAGGAAGAAAAAAAAATAATATTTAAACAAAGTAGAAAAAGAGATTGATGTATAATAGTATATAAATATATATTACTTTTAATTTGCCTCTGACCAGCAAATTAAAATTCTATATGCGTGCTGGATAGAACCTTCCGGCAGGCCGCAGTTTGCCCATCCCTCTTCTAAAACATTCTCATATCCTTTGGAGTGAAACCTCTATAAATCTCTAATTTTAATTGTAAAAACTTAAGATATTTGGGTATTCACTAATAATACTGGTACTCACTGACATTGCAATAATACTGCTACTTATAACTGCTTTCCTGTGAGGATTGTGGTAACCCTAGCAGATATTCCTTATTCTTCTCGGAAAATGTAAATTTTACTTTTTTCCCATTTTCATTGTTTATTCTTTAATTTTTTTGTGGGGCGGGCAAAAATATATTTCATTGTAAAAAGGTGCCAGTAGAGTATTGGCAGTGTATCGGCTGGTGTTGTCTAGTACTGAAGCACCAAATTTTAAAAAAAGAAAAAAGAGACTTATATTTATTTTTTCTTCTCTTTCTTATAAGTTAAACTTGGTTCTCTTCATTATATAGCACCTGTGTTTGTATAGTAACTAATGTATGGCATATACGTTAATGAGTGTAGTGCAACAAGTTTTGCTGCTTATATGCAGCATCTATATATCTTCTTCCTGAAATTTTAATTATCATATTTAATGTTTCTCTCTTTTTTTTATTAGAACTGTATACATGAAATTTTTTTCTTTATAATTACTCCTTTTAAGGCATTATATTTCTTTTTAAATATTGAATTATTTCTGAAGTTAGTAATTTTGAAATTATTGGTTAATGAAGCAAAAATTATATGAACATTCATCATATTAAACAAAGTGGAATACAAAATAATTTGCTAAGTAATATTGTTTTAAGAGATAATTTAAATTAATGTAGGGTCTGGCTGTAATTTTGGCTCCAACACGTGGTAGAACCTTTCAACAGTTTGTAGACTTGGTCCAAAAACGATTTCATGTAGAACGTCTTATGGCATATGACACTCATGTATGGGAGCTTAATTGTCGAGTAAGTTTGAAAATTCTGAAATATGTAATTGATTTTTTTAATAACAGATAATTTGAGTTATAAAAGTTTGGAGTAATTTTATAACAAGTATTTTCAATAGCATAGAGTCTTTAAATACATTTCCTTTAAAACAGTCATAGTAAATTTACTAACTATGTGACCTTTTATTATTATTATAACCTTATATTTTATTGTAGCTGAAAGAGTCAAAATCCAGTATATATGATGAAGACCTTCACTACCCACAGATGCTGATTTTAAGGAAAATTTAGTTTTCATGAACAACAAAGTATGTGTTGATTCTGAAGTAAATATTTAAAAACATTTTAGACTATTATATGTTTTTTGATGTTATATATCTGTATGTATTCAATATGTAATGCAAATGCTTACCTAAAAGTACTGTTAGTTATTGTTGTTCGTGTCTAATAGTACCATTAGGTAAGTCAACCACTTTTTTTACCTATTTATCCCCTTAAAAAATTTCCTGTTTCTGAATTGGTAGCTAACAAATAGGTCACTTTTTTTTTTTTACATTTCTTAGCACACCAACTTACAGATATATCAGGAAAAGTGAAATTATTTAATTTTTTAGCCCAGATGGGCTATTAATTTCATTTTGGCATTTTGTGTTGATTCACTATAAATGGCAAATCACTTTTTAAATTTTTGTCATCAAATATTAGTGCCCTGTATTATATTTTAAGATATATGTGTCTCGCATTGTGATAAAACAATAATACCGAGAACCAGCAAATTTTGAATAACATACATCTTCACCCGAATATGGGCAACTGGTAGCCCAAATTTGAAATTTGTCTTATTATCAATTTCATATTTTTGTAAAACTTTAATAAATTCCTGATTAACAAACTCAACAATTTTAAAGCGAGCAATGGCAACACTGCACGGAAAAAAGGAACATTTTTATCTCCAGCACACAAAGACTGTGTATCGGAAATTCTAAGGATATGCTCTTTTAAAATTATTTTGTGTTGTTGAACTGAATTTTATCGTTGCAAAGAACATGATAAGTGCAAAGAACATGATATTTAATAAATAAAGATAGCACCCAAAACATTAAAAAATAGCCCTCTTGGGCATAATGTAAAATCTGAAAGCTTTCAGATTTTTTTGTTTGTTTTTCATCATTCTGTTTTGCTGTATCTAAATATGTTTTTTGAATCTGTTATCAATCTAACTTTTTACTGTAAACTTATCCAACCTTTTAAGAAAAATTTAATTTATTTCAGTTTCATATAATGATTGTTTACATTGTTGTGTGCAGATTTTTTTTTTGTTCTATTTTGCTGTATCTGAATATAATTTTAAATTTGCTTTTAATTATATATATATATATATATATATCATATATAATATAATATTTATATATATAATATAATAAAATTTATATATATAATATAATAAAAATAATTTAATATTTATATATATAATATAATAAAAAATTTTGTGTCAAAAATTTTTTATTTAAAGAAATTATTATTTTCATTCAATATGTTGCTCCACATTAATCAATTACAGATAAGAAATTTAGAACCAGATCCACATAGACAGGAAAGAAATGAAATTCAAAACCAGTAAAGTCCAAAATTCCATATAAATATATAAAAAATCAAACAGTAGTCATCAAAGTCTGAAAAATTATAGAAATGATTAATACAAAAATTGCAAAAAATACAAATATATATAGGGAGAGGAATGCAATCAAAATCTGATTCAATGTTATCAAGAAAAGGTAGATCAGATTTAATTGAACCCCTTCTCCCATGAAAACCATTGCATTTCTGTTCATCCAAAATTAGCCGATCAACCATTCTAAATTATTCAATTATAACAGTTCACCAAAAATTTTGAACTCCTCGATGCGGAGGAAATCCATTAATGAAATATACAAAATCACATCCATATGTAAAAAATTCCAGTGTTGAATAAAGTAAAAGAAATTAAATAGACACTTAAGATTGAAATTAAAGTGTAGTAATATGAAATATACATAAAAATTAACAGAGAACATTGAAATCAGACCTTACCAAGAGCGAAACAAAACTAAAATAGAGAAGTTCAAAAATAGATGCTTAGGGTTGCCAGTTTGGCTTCATTGGTGAAACAGATTGATGATGGCAAGTTAGAAATCTCCCAAATGGTGAATTAGAAGCTTGTAAGTAATTTCAGATTTTTTAGATTTGAAAAGTATGGTAGTAAAGTAAGAAAAAAGAAGAAAAGAAACAAAGGTTATAAAAGAATAAAGTTCTTGCACAAACTGAATTTAGTTCAGTTGTGAAACAATTTCATTAGCTCTCAACTTTCTTTTCCACCTTCTAGTGAACTCATGCTCATTCTTCTCTTTAAAAGTGTAATTGCTCTTCAAAAATGAAAAACACAGTTTAAAAGTCACTACTGTGTAGTTTTTACATTAATTAAATACTTTTTTCAATTTAGTGTAATTTTTATCTTTTTAATATTGTTGGTAAACACAATAGGAGTAATATTAATAAAAAATAACTGAATTATAAATAATAACATACTGAATTATAAATTTCTTTTTTAAAATGAAATTTTTTTTTCCAGAATTCGATGATTCATTTTAAAACCCTGCCTATTTTTTTAATGGTTTAAACATATCTTTCAGAGGAATATCATTTGCTTTAATGGATAAAATAAATAAAATTTTTGTAACATGTTTAATATTTCACTATGCTTTGTAGTAGTAAAGAAATTCTTTAAATTTAGATTAATTTTTGGAATATTATATTTTTTCATGGTTTTAGATACGTAAACTTAATTTCCATATGCTCTTAGAATTTAAATATTGTAAATTAATTTGCAGCAATAATTAATTTTATTTTTATTTTTGCAATTTAAATCTCTTAATTAAATTTTAAATCTATATTAGCTTTATATGAATAGAGAATATTTGTTAAAAAGATTTATATATTCATGCTTAATTTGATAATTTTTAAGTATACTTGAGTGCAGAAAGTTAAGGAAATTAAAATCTGAATTTCTAAAAGAAAACTAGCAAACTATTAAGAATAGAAAATTAAATGTTTCTGTTGTTTGTTGGAATATCATCTTTCAAAATGGACAGTTTTTATAAAGGGATTTGATGTGTGTTACAATACCTCTCTCCCATCTGCAGATGTCTGTTGGGAGTTATTTGTATATTTGATTATGTTATCTGTATATTTATTCATGTAGTTTCCCTGTGAAAAAATAAGCTTATGATGCTGTAGTAGTAATTTAATAAAATAGACATCTTTTAAATAAAATGCTTTTTTAAAGTCTATTTTAAAATGTATTTCTAATAAATATTGTTGTGTGCATACGGGTTCATAATATATTGAATGCACACAGGTCCGATAATATGTTAATAAAATTTATTTTATCAAAAGAAACACTTCAGAGTCCTGGAATTTTCCACAGATATACTTGTACAGGTGTTCACAGTTTCGCAGAGTACAGTCAGTAGTTACACTTCAAACTATCTGGTTGTAATGAAATTTTCCTGCAAAAAAATTTTTCTCAATATAGTTAGGGGGAGAAAATATGAAAGCTGTACCTTTAGGGCGGATAGTAATCACTACCCAAATCTATGATTTTCTGCTAAAGTTTTGGTAGTTTTCCAAAGCCTTCGGCCAAAAACTTGGTGGCCGTGAGTCCCAAAAACAGATCAATCTCATTTCGGACATCCTGTGCTGAATGGAAGATAACACCAGCAAGATGTAGCTGCAGGTGTGAAGAAAGGTACAAATTTGAAGGAGCAATGTCAGGGCTATATGGCAAAAGATCCCATTGGAGTCCGTACAGAGTCAAGCCAGTGAATGAAGACACATGTGGTCTTGCATTATCTTGATGGAAGATTGCATTTTTGTGCTGGAACTTAGTTTGAAATTTTTCCTTGATATCAGCATCAGCACAGACTAGCATTTCGCTGTACATCTTGCTGTTGAGGGTTTTACCTTTTTCCAGAAACTTTTTTGTGGGTAACACCATGGCAATCCCACCAGATACAAAAACCTGATCTTTTTGTTATTCAAACTGCGCTTTGCAACGCTGTCGGCAAGCTCATTGGGTGCAGACCAACCTCCTTTTTGGCCTGTGCTGTTAAAGTAAATCCACTTCTCATCACGAGTGATGATCCAGTCCAAAAGTTTTTCCTTGCGTTTATATTCGAACAGATTAGTGCGGGCTCGAACATCTTTGTCCTTATCTGCTTGAGTGGGTTTATGCGACATCCATCCATTGAATTTGTACATCAAGTTTATGCAATGCATAGCACAACTAATGGACTTGGCACTAATGTCTAACTCCTTAGCAATCTCTCGATGGTTGTAAACTGATCTTCTTCCACAAGTTCTCACAGGCAGGCCTCCTCAACATCAGTAGGATGGCCAGAGCACTCTTCTTCTTGAATGTCATAGTCCTTGTTTTTGAACTCTCAGTTCCAAACCTTCACAGTATCATATGATACAGCATTAGTACTTAAAGCTATACATATGATTTGGTGACATTCTGTAGCTGACGTTTTACAACAGGACTGGAAGTAAATGATGACTGTAGTTTTTTAGTGTGATAGTTCCGTTTCAGACATTGTGTACTTAATGATAACGGTATTTTTTTTACAAATTTCACAATACAGTGTTCTAAAGCACATCTCTCTCTTTCTTTCAAATGCCAAAAATCGTTTGACTAAATATGATTAAACATGCCAATGTGACCTGTTTGCACAGATGATATTTGCAGTGGGGGAAACTTTTGTTGAAACCTGATACTAAGAATGTTAAACACAGAGCAATGTAAAGCACATTTAAAGAGAAAGCTAATCTGGAGCCATATATGTCATATTTCTGGGAAGCATAGAAGAAAAATCAACTTGCAGTTGTTGTAGCTGAGAGTGAAGGCTTATAGATGAAGATAACAAAACATGAAGAATTTCCAGTCTTTATTTACATGTATGTAAAATCATCTCCATAGATGTTTATCCAATCATAATGAATTCTGAGACATTTCTATGATTCAGTCATAATGAAATACGATAAATCTGTATGTATATTGGTTCTTAAAATTAAGACGAAGCCAGTTTAGATGGGGAAGCAAAGCAAGGACGTATTAGCATGGTGGAAGCTAGGAAAAGAGTGATGGAGTTAGCTTGCTAGAGCATGTACCAAGCTAGAGCATGTACCAAGCTTAATGCACAAGTACAGCTAATCTATGATTGGTAAATTTGAGGTTGATATATAATCATTTCCAGCGTAGCTTGTCTCTTTAATTTTTTTTTTCACAGTAACATTACCCAGAAAAATACAGTTTCACATATAATTGCCCTAAAATCATCTATCTGTGTACAAATTCATAACAATATAAACATTTTATTATTTGTTGTTATATAGTTCTTTATTATATGTCTAAATGTTTTCAGTACAATGCAACTGAGTATTTATTGATGTTAGTATAAACTGGTTCTAATTTTTATGCATTTGTAAATAGTTGTATATTAAAATATGTATAAAAATTCAAGTAAAATTTTATTTCTTTTTATGAATATTTTTCAAAGAATTAAAGCATATGTAATATGTATGTGTATATATATATGTATGTATTTTAAATTAGAAACTCCTAATTTCTTCTTTTTGGAATGTAGTTACATTTGCTTTGAAAAATTATTAGTGTTTCTTTTATATATTCTAAATGCCAACAATGTTTTTTATTTGAAAATATGTTTTTTTCATTGTTTAATATAAAAATACTGTTATTCAATTTTAATGAATAATTTTTTATTACAGAAAAATGAGTCATTCAAAACCAACTTAGCAAGCAAACTTCATCTTCCACATTAATGTGTAGAGTTGTGTTTTGTCATACAAAATATAGTCATGTCATATTCGCCCATCTTTAAAAAAAAAATCAGAATTAACTTTTTCCCCTTCTCTCTGCTGTTGAATCAGAGAAAAACTTGGTTATTTTTAATAAATGGAAATTAAATGACATATTTGTATTAATGGAATATGGGTATTATAGTCATTTTTTTTTAGTTAAAATTTAGTTCAGTCTTGTCTGTGACCTCTGATAAAATTATTTATGTGGACCAGGGGTGGCCAAACTGCAGATCTTTAATTTGGTGACATTGCAACTAGAACTTTTATTTTTTAAAACGTAATTTGGAATATTGCACTACAAAATATTTTTCTAACAATGAGTACTTATTTTAATTGCATTAATAGGTATAATAATTTCAAAATATATTTTGCATGTTAATTTTCAGAGAGAACTTTACTTCCAATTTTTTAGAGTAACACCAAAAACAATACAGTTAACTTAAAATCACAGTTAATCTGTTAGAAACATTAGGAAAAAAGGAAAAAGAGGAATAACCCCCATGACAATTAATAGGAAAATACTATTCATTGTAACTATGCTTGTAAGTGTTTAACTGTATTTTCAAGCAGTTTAATCTACAGAATAATTTCATTTGGTAACTTAATTTAAATCAGTATGTAAGTTGAAAAGAATGTTATATAAGTAATGGAAGAACATATGTAATTAGAAAGAGAGAAACGTAAGTTATAAATGGCATCAAAAACAATATTTACAAGATAATTTGAACAAAATATCATTGCTTTCAAACTTTCTTCATTGCATCTGTTGTTTGTTTTTGTTTACATTATAATTTAATAATATGTTGACAGTGAGTCAATGTGAAACAAAAGATTAATATGACTGTACACTTCGTTAATTTTTACAATTAAGTAATTAAATTTTAATGCCCAATTTAATAATGTTTATTCTCGATTATATGCAATGAAATTATGTATTATTGTGGATGAAAAGTTCCAAATACTTTGTGGTATCGTCTGTTGTGCAGTTATCCTACATTTGTTTCTTTTATATTTTCCATAGATAGTTTTGTTGTATGCTGATGGTTTGTGATAGTAATTTTCCCATTATTCCACAGTAAATAAACTTAACTTTTTTAGACAGGTCCTAGTTAGCCTGCCTTTGTTCCCAGTTATTGGCCATTGATTATTATAAACAAAAATCAATTAAAATTTTTTAAAGTTCTCACAGCAATGCTAATTATTGTTGGGACAGCAGAAAAGAAAAATATTATTGCTAATTATTATTGGGACAGCCAAATTACATTAATGTTATACATCGAAACTTACTGTACAACATAATGGGTATGCGTGGTTGTACTTTGCTTTGGAAAAAATAGAATAAATCTCATGATATAATTTTTATATAGTAAATTAGTTAAATGATGCAAAATGTGGTGTTCATATGTTGTTCCTCATGTTAGTTGTGTGTAATAAATGAAGTTATTTTTTATGCAGAAACTGTAGTAAGTTGCAGTTTATTTTAAAAGAGTTCATTTATTTCAATTACAATTTATTCATTGTGTGCTGTTCCTTTCTTTGTACTGTTATTCTTTTCAGAGAGAGCATGTACATATATATATATATATTAAAAAATAAAATAAAATAAAATAAAAAATTTAAAAAAAAAATGCTACTTTTGATTTTAAGTTACTATATTATCTTTGCTGGAATGAGAAGCTTTTTACATTAGTGTAAGAAATACTGTAAGCTCTTTTCACTTAAGCTTACTGCTTATATTCATAATAATCAAAAGAACTCAAGTTTTTTTCTTCTTTTTAATGTAAGAAAGGAATGTTCGTTACTTAGTAGAAGATTTAAAATTTGTATATCATAGAAAATTCCTGAATGCAACAAGAATTTACATATTTGTAAATTCACATTATAAAACATAAATTATTTCAAAAGTGTGAAATTCCCCTTAATTTATTGGAATCTTTTTATCTGTTTAAAACTATTTTAATTCTTTTGAAATGATCTAAATATCTAGTTGCAAATTTTGCAATTTTTTAATTCTAAGATGCAGCTTTAACTGACTTGGAGTTTGGCCATCTCTGATATAAAACCATTGAGTCTTGTTTGTCAAATATAGTTAGTGGATGTGTGTATATTATTCGTGTACCTTCTAATTCATCCATTTGTGAATACTTCTTATATAGTAAATTCCACTGTAGAAAGCTGAGCTAGTAAAGGATATTTTCTATAATTAAAAAAAAAATTATTATTATTCATAATAATATGTTGATTTATAATAATATGTTGATATTCAGTACTTAATGCATTTCTAGAAAATCTCATGGAAATATGTATACACCTACAAAATCAATGCTGAATTTTAATTTAATTATTGGTTATATATTTGAATCATTATAATAAGTATTGCATAAAAAAGGTCTTTTATCTTTCAATGTAACCAATGAAATTGTAGAAATTTTCAGTTCAGTTTTTTAAATCTGTTTAAATTTTTGAGATTTAACTAAGCATATTTTTTATTACAAATTATGTTTGACTGATAAAATCTGAAGTATTTTTGAAACTTAGCTTACATGAATATAAAATAATAATGTGCAATATTTTTTGAATTTTTTTTTTTTTTTTTTTTTTTACTTGTGCTCTTTGAAAGGGCTTATTTTTATTTGATTTTACTTATCAAACAGATATATTGGTGTCACTATTTACAATAAACTCATAATTTCAAAATTATTCTAATATACAGTTTTAAAAATAATTGCTTTGTTATTTTCATTCATTCTGAGGGAAAAAAAGGGAGTCATTGTTGAGAATAATTTTACAGCAAGAAAATCTTTTTTGACTGTATAATATACAGTACAAAGTCTGAGATCCGGACCTCAAAGCCACCACCAACTTTTTTTTATTATTATTTATATATATATATTGTGTATGTGTGCTTTCCGCTTGTGCATTTGATTGCCCCTGTTCACTTCGGCACTAAATAAAATACCTTGTTATTGAAGAAACAATCATTTTAGCATAAATTTGTATGATCAATAATTTGGCCCCGGACCTGTGTATACTACATCTCAAACCGAAACATTCTATATAGAAACAGTCTTCATTTTGCACCTGCTACAGTCAAAAGTCGTTAATCCGGACTCGTCG